TTCCAAATACCAGTCAATATTGGCACAGAACCTTCAGGCTCTGCTAGAAAGCTGAACATGAAGAGGAACTTCCATCTTTCAGCATGACAACGACCCAAAGTATACATCCAAATCAACAAAGGAATGGCTTCACCAGAAGAAGCTTAGAGTTTTGGAATGGCCCAGCCAGAGCCCAGACCTGAATCCAATTGAAAATTTCTGGGGTGATCTGAAGAGGGCTGTACACAGGAGATGCCCTTACAATCAGACAGATTTAAAGTGTTTTTGCAAGGAAGAGCAGGAAAATATTGCCAAGTCAAGATGTGCCATGCTGATAGACTCATACTCAAAAGACTGAGTGCTGGAATCACATCAAAAGGTGCTTCAATAAAGGATTAGTTTAAGGGTGTGCACACTTATGCAACCATATTATTTTAGGTTTTTATTTTTACCTCCCTCACCTAAAAGATTTCAGTTTGTTCAACTGAGTTGTACAGTTTATAGGTCACATTAAAAGGTGGAAAAAAGTTCTGAAATGATTTATCTTTGTCTCATTTTTTTTTACATCACAGAAACCTGACATTTTAATGGGAGTGTGTAGACTTTTTATATCCACATTTCTGTAAATATTTGACTATATCTTTTCATGTGACAACACTGAAGAAATGACACTTTGCTACAATGTGATGTACAGCTTGTATAACGTAAATTTGCTGTCCCCTCAAAATAACTCAACACACAGCCATTAAAGTCTAAACCGCTGGCAACAAAAGTGAGTACACCCCTAAGTGACAAGGTCCAAATTGGGCCCAAAGTGTCAATATTTTGTGTGGTCACCATTATTTTCCAGCACTGCCTTAACCCTCTTGGGCATGGAGGTCACCAGAGCTTCACAGGATGCACTGTATATACACACAGTGTACGTGCCGCCCTGCCAAATCTACTGCACAGGAGCGGCAAGTGGTTGAAAATGATGCCATTCACCCCACACATTATGAAAGTATTGTATACAACAGTGATACACAGATGTACAACTTACTGATGATAAAGCAGCCACGTCCTCCTTTTTCTTTTTTTCTCCAGACAGTGTCTCATTCTGTATGTTCTGTTTAACAAAACATAATAAACACAAAACACTAATTTTCAAGAATTAGTAAAACAAAAAATTTTTACTCTTAACTACCTTATTGTAACACATTATTTCAATGTGTATTTATTGTAAAAAGTACTAAAGTAATCGGGGTGATAGATTAGGCAATGAAAGCCTCATGCACGCTGGCACTAGAAGTTCTCTACTTTAGAATCAGGTTTAGATGTATTTAGATGTGTTAACTTCTATTCAGCTCTGCAAAACCAACACTATACAGACTGAACACAAATTGTAATTGATTTAGTATGATGAAATCACCCCAGACACTACTAAACAACTCGTACACTCCCTCATCATCTCACGCCTGGACTACTGCAACTCCATTCTCACTGGCCTACCCAAACAAACGCTATCCCCACTCCAGTCTATCCTGAACTCAGCGGCTAGACTCATCCACCTCACCAGCCGCTCCACATCTGCCACCTCCCTCTGCCAATCCCTTCGCTGGCTCCCGATAGCCCAACGCATCAAATTCAAATTACTAACTGACCTACAAAGCCATTCACAACGCCGCCCCAAACTACCTAACCGACCTGATACCCAAATACTACCCTACCCGTGCCCTTCGCTCCTCACAGGACCTCCTACTCTCTAGCTCCCTGGTCTCCTCCTCCCACGCCCAACTGCAGGACTTCTCCAGGACTTCCCCCATCCTCTGGAACTCCCTACCCCAATCCATCAGACTGTCACCTACCCTCCTCACCTTTGGGCACACTCTGAAAACCCATCTCTTCAGGGAAGCCTACCCCGCCCTCACCTAACAGCCGATCTCCTCCACTCTTCCTACCACTCCATCCCCCACAGCCACTTCCTCCTGCACCACTATCCCCTCCCTCCTAGATTGTAAGCTCGAAAGAGCAGGGCCCTCGAACCCCTCGTGTATTGTATTGTTACTGTATTGTCTCATGTACTGTCCCCCTCGCTATTGTACAGCGTTGAGCAAACCATTTGGCGCTATATAAATACTGTATAATAATAATAATGAAATTGCACCCCTGACCTGCCCAGAGTTGGCCACATCTGCCTACAACTATCTATCATCCTCCCTGGACGCTCTTGCTCCCCTTTCTACATGCAGAACCAGGCCTCGCCTGTCACAACCCTGGCAAACAGATGACACCAGAAGTCTCAAGAGACGCAGCCGCACTATTGAGCGAGCATGGCGTAAAACTAAATACCCTCTACAAATCCGCTCTTCTCAAATACAACTCCAGCCTCCATGCTGCTAAGCAAACCTACTAAAACACTCATCAAGACCCTCTCATCCAATCCTCACCAACTCTTTTCTACCTTTAATTCCTTACTTCACCCCCCCACTGCGTCCACCCATCAACTTACTTACTGCACAGCAGATTGCCAATCACTTCAAGAAGAAGATCGACACAATTCGTGATGAGATCTCCAGTGTCAAGCTTCCTCCTCTAACCAACATACCAGGCTCAACACCAAACTCTACACTCTCCTCCTTCAACCGTGTTACCTCCAAGGAAGTTACCGATCTCCTTTCCAAGGCCCACTTCACCACCTGTCCCCTGGATCCTGTACCCGGACGACTATTGCAGCCTCCTTCCTGCTCTATCCTAAACTCTCTAACCCACATCTTCAACCTCTCACTCTCCATGAGCACCTTTCCCTCCTCCCTGAAACATGCACTGGTTACCCCCATTCTCAAAAAACCCTTGCTGGACCCCACCTGTTTGAATAACTTAAGACCCATCTCCCTGCTCCTGTTTGCCTCCAAGCTTCTTGTGCGCCTTGTTCACAACCGTACGAACTGCTACCTCACCGACAACAACCTTCTTGATCCCTGAGAGTATGGCTTCCGCCCACAACATTCCACAGAAACTGTCCTATTAAAACTCACTAACAACCTACTAAGTGCTAAAACCAACGGCCATTACTCCATACTCCTTGACCTTTCCACTGCCTTTGACACAGTCGACCACCCGCTCCTCCTCAGTAAACTCCACTCCATCAGCCTCCGTGACTCACATACAACTCCTCCTCCTCCTCCGCTCCTCTTCCCCTTTCTGTTGGGGTACCCCAAGGTTCTGTTCTTGGGCCTCTGCTTTTCTCTCTCTCTACCTCCTCTCTGGGCCAACTGATAACTTCCCATGGCTTCCAATCAGGGATGTATTTACCGCAAGGCAAACAAGGCGTTTGCCTAAGGTGGCATTTTTCAGGGGGCGGCACCGCCCCCTTGAAAAAGGGACACAGGTGAAGATGGGGACATGTTAGGCTCAGTGTGGTGAGCCTTCCCAGTATACCGACTGCCGCCGAGTAGAAGGAGGACATCCACGGTACAGTCCTGCGGACATGGTGCGGCTGCTGGAGCAATGGGAAGTTGGCAGGTGAGGTGAGGATGGGGACATGTTGGGTTTGGTGTGTCAGTGCGGTGAGCCTTCCTAGAGTACCTGCTGCCGCCCAAGAGAAGGAGGAAGAAGGAAATCCAGAGTACAGTCCTGCGGTTGCTGGAGTGGTGGGAGGTCAGAAGGTGAGGTGAGGAATTTGGAGAAACTAAAACACAGAGACGAGGCTGGAAATGTACGATGATCACTGTCATATTCTGTGTTGTCGGTGTTCCTATCAGCCGGAATCAGGAAGTGTGTGTGTATGTGTGTGTGTGTGTGTGTGTGTGTGTGTGTGTGTGTGTGTGTAGTCAGGGTAGTCTGTGTTTGGTGGGGGATTAGTGTATATGGGGGCAACCTGTTGGGGGCAACCTTCATACAGCTATGGCTCCCCCATCACCCCCCATAATACACTGTATACACCCCTTCTTTGTCACCACCTTTTACACCCTAGTTGCTACTGTCACCATGCAACCTCTCTCTCACTGGGAAAGGGGCGAGGGGGGCGCACAGTTTTCGAGTTGCCTAGGGCAACACAAAAACTAAATACACCACTACTTCCAATACAACCTCTATGATGATGACACCCAAATCTATCTTCACTCCCCAGCTCACACCCTCAATCTCCTCACGTATCACAAATCTACTAAGCAACATATCAGCATGGATGTCACATCACTACCTCAAACTCAATCTTTCAAAAACTGATCTTGTAATATTTCCTCCTCCCCGATCCCCCACTCACGACTTTACCATTAAGATCAACAGCAGAACCATTGGTCCCTCCCCTCATGCCAGGGTGCTAGGCGTAATCCTAGACTCTGACCTCTCCTTTGGGCCCCACATCCAATCACTAGCTAAATCCTGCCGCCTCAACCTCTGGAACATTTCCAAAATCCATCCCTTCCTGACCAATGACACCACACTCTGGCGTGCACGGTGATATGTAACATATCGTGAAATTTTTTGACAGGTTCTCTTAATGAGAAATATGGGGTCTAAAAGACCCCTGATGTCTCCCTTGTGCTCCACTGAATGTAATGCATTACAGATCATTCTGCATTAGATTCTTTCCAGGTCATGACAGGGGGACCTAGAAATGAAGTTTAAACATCGTTTCCGGATCAGCAACAAGAAGGGGAGGAGAGCAGAGGCACCCGCTATGACGGTCCCGCAAATGGGCATGCGGAGCCCGGGATACATGATGGGCAGGTGACGTCCATTACGGGTGGGGGGTGTGCACATAATCTGGCACTGCTTGCATCTGACAACCAGAAGTTAACATGTCAGATTTAAATACAAACCCAGTGGCTGTAGCCTACGGGAGTGTGTGTAAAAATCCCGGCTGTCAGGCCCGTGCCATGTGCTATTCTGATGGTACATGATAAAGGTGTTTACAGTAGTGGGTTCAAAGACAGAAATAGGACGATCCACTATACTGGGCTTTTAAACCATTGAGGCCTCTGCAAAAGGCCGTAAGCTATGCTGCTATACCTAACACACAAAGTCGTTGCACATACCTGTGTATATGTAATGAAGGCATAGCATTGAGGTGTTAAATGTGAGCCTGAGAGTTTAACCTGTAGAGAAGAAAGTTTCTGTTAAGCTTTGTGGGTTTTTTTTTTTTTTTTCTAAGGTATGAGAACAAATGAGTGCTACAAAAAAAAAAAAAAAAAAAAAAAAAACTTACCAACTTTTCCAAACGTGTAGGAACAGCCCCCATGTGATTAGTACAAACCTGCAAGTACTGAACATAAGACATGCAGTGTCAGACAAGACACCTTATTGCTGGGATTACCATCATTAAAACAGGATTTTGTACTATATATTTTGTAAAATCCGCTTCCTGGAGTTCACCAAGAAGCACAGAATCAGTAGCGATTTTGATGATATAAATGGGTTTAAAAAAAAAAGTTAGACTATCCCTGTATAACCCCCACCTTGTCCCAGATCTGTGAGAAAGCAGTACAGAAGACCAAGAACATAGAGGGAAGGATGGATTTTACGCCAAGTACAAAAATGATAAGTATGATGAGAACAAAAATATGTATCTTTTAATAAGGAACAAAGGATTGTTTCTATTCAGATTGAAAAGCATGTCAGCGAGGGCTGGGCAATTGCTACAGAGATCCAGCAAGCTCAGTGAGAAATAGGGGTAGTAACTATGGAATTTATCACTAAACCTGGCCATCAACAGATCAAATTTGGCCGGTCCCTGCTGAACTTCTAACCATTTATTGGCAGGCTGGTTGCACTGAAATTAATCTATTAACTCCAGTCCAACCAGCCTGTTGGGTTTTTTACGTTCCATAGGAAACCTTCCACTGTCATAATAGAATTGCACAGGGGGGGGGGGGGTGGGGTTATTTCCATGGGAGAATTGAGCAATTGAAGTGGTTGAAGGAAAAAAAAGTATAATGTATGGCCTGCCTAAGAATGAAAATATAGTAATCCAGATAAGGTGATGGAGATTTAACCACTTTAAGATAGGGCCTATTTTTTAATAAGTTTACATTTAAAAATCAGTATTTTTTGCTGAAAAATTACTTTAAATCCCTAAACATAATTTTTTAAAGCAGAAGCCCTAGAGAATGAAATGGTGCTTTTTTTTAATGTCACACAGTATTTGCGCAGAGGTTTTTCAAATGCAATTGTTTTGGAAAAAAATACACTTTCATACATTTTAATGCACAAAAACAATATAAAACCCAACTTTTTGGTAGACTATAAAATATTATGTTACGCAGAGTAAGTACATATCAAAAATGTCATGCTTTAAAACTGCACACGCCGTGCAATGCCGAAAAACTATGTACATTTTATTATAGATAGGTGACGCTTTAAAAGCCTTTACAGGTTACCACCTTAGATTTACCCAGGAGATCTGGTGCTAGAATTACTGCCCTCAATCTGACATTCACAGTGATACCTCACATATGTGGTGCGTACATAAACTGATGCTGGACCTGACACGTGCGTTCCCCTTTGTGTGGAAGCGGAGGGGAGGAGGAAGAACTGGCACTTTTAAATTTTTTTTTATACTGTCCCTTTAATTTTTAATTTGTTTTTTTTTTTCTATCACCACAAGAAATATACACATCCCTTATGATAACAATAGGCAGTGACAGGTCCTCTCCTCTGCCCTAAACAGCATCTGATTACACCAAGAACGGTGTGATCCTATGCTTTTCCAATTTAAAGATGCTGCCATTTACATCCGGCAAAACCGAATCCAGATGAAATACTCATCGCTTCCAGTTTCTCAAACCACAGGAGGTGATAGGGGCCATTCCAGTCCCTGACCAGCTCTATGGTCAGCCGGTGGAACCGCTGGCTGCACACTCAGGTCACCCAGTGGGATGGGAGAGCCTGAGAAGGCCGCCGGTAAAAGCAATCCAACAGCTAATTAGCAGCTAGGATTGCTGTACACGAAAGTCGACCACCGGCTGAAAAAATGATACCGGGATGATGCCTGCAGCAGCAGGTATCATATCAGTACAACCAATCGAAGTCAGGAGACGTACCGGAGGACATGGGGGATGGAATCAAACCTTTAGAGGCCTTAGTATAATCCAATCATATCAGAATACCTACTGATCCAGTGTCCTCTAATAAATGATAAAGAAAACAGGGTAAAACCCATCTGCCATATAGTCAGGTGCATTGTCCTGGGTTTTCATTTCCACTAGGCTGACTCACATATTTGAGAAGAGTAGTCAGAGTTGTGTACATCTTAGTGAGTTCCTTCAATAAAGTGTCTATACAGCTTCCAGTTGGTAAGGCAGTCTGGATGAGTTCATGGCAGGCAGTCAGTAATGTACCCAGCTGCAGAATAACAGCCTTTTCTATAGGTTCCCTAGAATTTGTAGCTTGAGTGTCATTGCCATCTGAGGAGAATAAAAGCAAAATAACGCATTAAATGTTTAACTATAATTCAGTGCTGTCTATTCACGTGGGTTCTATGTTCCCAGGACCTGGTTACCTTCTTATTAATAGTTTACCATTACGTAACCACTTCAATACCGGGTCAATTTTGACATCTCACATTTATGGAAAAATCTACTTTTTTTGCTGGAAAACTACTTAGAACCTCCAAACATTATAGAATTTAAGTAGAGGCCTTCAAGAATAAAATGATGGGTGCTGCAATTATGTTATGTCACGCAGTACTAGCACTGTGGGGGGGGGGGGGGGGGGGGATACACAATGATTTTTAATGCTCAAAACCACAATATAATAGCCAATTGTTTGGTAAAATATAAAAGATGATTTTACGGTGAGTTAACCCGTACCAAATATGTCAAGCTCTAAAATTGTGCACGACTGAGCAACAATGGCAAACTACGTACATTTTATTATCCATAGGCGGCACTTTAACCACTTGCCACCCGACCTATGCGCAAATGACAGCTGGGCGAACACATAGTCCCCTCCAGGAGGGCGTCATATGACATTCTTCCCAGATCGCGCTTTGCACATGCCCGCAGGTCCGTGCTGTAGTGAGATGTCACCGGCTATGTACCTCGGACACGGCCAATGACAGATCTGTGTACCGGCCCCATTGCCAGTACCATGTGACCTGCTGTGACCAATCACAGCAGGTCACTTGACAGTTGTATACAATGGATGGCTTCCTTTCATGCCATCCATTGTATACTAGTGTGTCTAGCTGTGAATGGTCACAGCGATCACATGCACAGGCTGGACTATTTTCACCAAAGAAATCTAGCAGAATACATCTCGGCCTAAATTTATGAAGAACAATTATTTATTTGCAAACTTTTATAACAGAAACAAAGAAAATTGTGTGTGGGGGGGGGGGGGTTCTACATTTTCGGTCTTTTTTTGTTAATTTAGCAAAAAATAAAAACCCAGTGGTGATTAAATACCACCAAAAGAAAGCTCCAGTTGTGCGAACGAAACAATAAAATTTTAGTTTGGGTACAGTGTTGCATGACCGCACAATTGTCATTCAAACTGTAAGAGTGCTGAAACCTGAAAATTGGCCTGGGCAGGAAGGGGGTAAAAGTGTCCGGTATGGAACTGGTTAAAAGCCTTTACAGATTACCAATTCAGATTTACACAAGAGGTCTGGTGCTAAAATTATTGCTCTAATTCTGATGTTCGTGGAAATACCTCACGTATGGTGCAATTGCTGTTTACGTACCAACGCGTGCATTTGCCTTTACGCGCAAGGGGGGAAAGGGAGCACTTTAAAAAAAAAAAAAAATGCCTTACAGTGGTGGGCACTGCAGCTTACGCATATATTTGCAAATGTGTGCAAACAAAACCCTCTGTTTTTAATGTGACTTGTTGGGGTCAATTCGGTTGTTTTGCAGGCTGGCTGGTAAGTGTGCTGGGAAATCTTTTGTCTATGACATGCGTTGCCGTTCCATGTACACTTTACTACTGCAAAGGCTAGTTATAGATTCAGGTGGTTGCCACTTTTTTGTACAACTAAACAAAGTGTGTTTTCTCCTCTGCATGTATGTAAATGCTAATTAGTAGCATACAATAATTATCTCATTTGTTAGTCATGGAAGCCTTGAGAAGCAGCCTAGACAGTGTAATAGACAAATAACTGGGGAGAGGTGTGACAGATGGTCACTGGCAGAATGAAAACAATATTGGCATTTCTGGCTAGTCCTATTTAAACTCTTCAGCTCTCAGCATAGAAAAAAAATAGATTTTTTTTTCTACATACTTACAAGTAAAATCCATTTCTTGGAGTACATCACGTGACAGTGCAGCCTCTATGCTGCTTCAGTGCAGCCTAAATATAAGCTCCTGCAGATAAACTGCAACCTACTCTGGAGACTCAACTCATTTAAGTGCACTGATACCCATACAGGGGTGTATAAACAAAAAAAGTTATACAAGCCCCTCGGGCTAATGCAGTGTATAATCGTGTCCTGTCTAGTCATGCAACTCCCCCACAGGTAATACTCACTGCCCCCAGTGGCCACCAGGAGGCTAACAGATATTCAAATGGATCTGATTGCATCCAGAAGCGTTGCAGACCTCCAGGTATGCTCCAAGAGCACATGCAGCACATCAGTGACCACCAACCTTACGGACACTGGCGAAAAAACTGAAGAATGTCCAGTGTGGGAGGGGTTATATGGAGGAGGACTTCCTCCGATTGGCCAGCCAGCGTCTATTCACCTATAGATGGCATATAACCCACATAGGCATGACTAGCCTGCTCTGTGTCCCGTGATGTACGATAAAGAAATACTACTACACCACACACCGCACGCTCTATGTAGCCAGCCCACTCACCATTTTTCTTCTCTGAACCAGTCTGTGTTTTCAGTTTTGCAATTAACCATTCCACTTCATCCAACACCTTTGCAGCTTGTCCTAGAACCAAAACCTGGACAAAGAAAATGATATGAAGAACACCATAAGATTTGCACTAAACAATTCTTGAAGGCTGGATGCACCCAAAAGTGATATGGCCATTGTGATCATTATGGGTTCACTCAGCTTTATTATTATTATTATACAGTATTTATAAAGCGCCAATCGTTCGCTCAGCGCTGTACATTACAAAGGGGGACAGAACATGTGACAGAACAATAACAATACAATGCAAAACATGAGGGGATTGAGGGCCCTGCTCTTTCGAGCTTACAATCTAGGAGGGAGGGGATGGTGGCACAGGAGGAGATAGCTGTGGGGGATGGAGTGGTAGGAAGAGTGGAGGAGGTCGGCAAGTTAGCAGGGGGTGGGGTAGGCTTCCCTGAAGAGATGGGTTTTCAGGGTGCGCCTAAAGGAGAGGAGAGTAGGTGATAATCTGATGGGTTGGGGCAGGGAGTTCCAGAGGATGGGTGACACCCTGGAGAAGTCCTGGAGGCGGGCATGGGAGGAGGAGACCAGGGAACTAGAGAGAAGGAGGTCTTGTGAGGAGCGGAGTGTGCGTGCTGGGCGGTAAGCTTTAGTCCGAATAATATTGTTCAGGAGCTGCAATAAAGAAATAATGCCATCTAACACATCTGAAATGGATGAATATATCAGCCAAAGTCAGAAAATGGTCAGACTACCTTACTGGTACTTTAGTTAAGAGTGCCTTCTTGCATTGCCCAAGAATTACACTCATTGCACCATCACATTTTATTCAGCAATTAAAGTGAAAATGTCCTGCTGGATGAACCGCATCGGGGGGAGCCTATGCTGACCTCATCACGCCCGCCGTAGGTGGAATCATTACATGCTATCGTGAAGCTGGATCACAGTTGTTTGCAGTATTGGAGTGGTGTTGGAACGCATCTACATATACAAGTTTCACTTGTTTGAACTTTTACTTGTTTATTTCATTGCATCAACAGAGTGATGGTGGAACTCACTAAGTTACATTAGCTTTTAAGGACCTTATTTGGTTGCAACATTCCAATGGTGGTGGAAGCCACAAAAGTTTTATTTATGATGTTATGTAACAGTATAATTTATTTAGACATATGAAGTGGGTTTGTATACTTGGTTGATTTCTAAACTATTAAAGACACAGTGCAACTATATTTTACATTAAAAGTGAAGTCATGCTGTGAAGTGCACTCCTTCGCTACAAATTACAGCACGGTACAGGAGCATCTGCTGTTAATGAAATGATAAACATTCATTGATTAGGTACTCACAGTGACAGTAGGAGCTGCAGTCTTTACATTAACAGTGTGGAAGTGCGATGGTTTCTCTACTTCGATGTCCTGTAGGAAAGAAAATACTTGAGTAAATATTCCCAAAGTCAGAAAACTTATACAGAGCAAATACTGGATAAAATATAGTTCATGTGATGGAAATTTTTTTTTCAGCAATCCTATGGTTGTACAAACCTCCTATAGGTCCAGAGGTAACATTAAAGTGGAATTCCAGGCACCACCTAACTAATCTCCCCTCCCCCTTCCTGAAACATGTTCCAACTAACCTATGTAAGAAATATCTGCATACTTACTCAGGCCGCTGTGGTCCGGTCACATAATACTTTGTGCCAGGGAGCATGGGTGCATGGGTGAGGGAGAGGAGGGAGCACCAACAATAGATGGGTCACTGAAGCCTGTTGGTGGAGTAAACACTCCACACTTTACTAATCATTGTCGGAGCATTCTCTCCTCTCCCCTGAAGCTGCCATTGGCCGACACAGGAGAGATATGACCGGACTGGAGTACCCTGAAAGTATACAGATCTTTCTTACACAGGCTAGTTAGAATAGCTGTTAGAAAGGGGGAGGGAGCATTTTTAAGATTAGTTCAGGGGTGCCTGGAACAGCACTTTAACCACTTGCTGACCGCAGATAGCCGAATGACGGTTTCAATGCAGCCGGCCAGTTCTGGGGTGGACGTCATATGACATTCTCCCAGAACGCGCTCTCTTGCACGCCCCCCGCAATCTCCGGACACAGCTGATCACATGATATGGTAAAAAAACCAATCACAGTGGCCTTTTACCTCATGATCAGCCGTGTCCAATGACACACTGATCACCGGGAAATGCAATTGCCGGTTATCGGCTGCACTTTCCTCACGTTGGCACAGTTGTCTGAGGAGGGATCGGCACCGATCGGCATGATCGGTGCCCAGTAGTGCCATCCATCAGTGCAGCCCAGCAGTGCCACCAGTCAGTGCAGCCTCATTTAACACACATCAGTGAAGGAGACAAATGACCTACTTGCAAAATTTTATAACAGAAACAAAGAAAAACTTTTTTTTTTTTTATTTTGCTCTTTTTTTGTTTATAGCGGAAAAAAAAAAAACACCCAGTGGTGCGTAAATACCACCAAAAGAAAGCTCTATTTGTGTGAAAAAAGTGATAAAAATTTCATATGGGAACAATGCTGCATGACCGTGCAATTGTCAATCAAAGTGCGACAGGGCTGAAAGCTGAAAATTGGCCTGGGCCGGAAGGGGGAATAAGTGCCCTGTAGGCAAGAGGATAATTACATCATACATACTACAAAAAAAAAAAAAAAACTTGTCTTGTGAACTTAACAGACCGGTAAAAAAAACTCTTCCACTATCCATTTGCCGACTGCCTGCCCGCCCGCATTTTACTGCGGGCGGGTGGCTCGTACAGGCAGTCACGTACTTTACGTCGGCAGTGTCTTCTAAGTTCAGGGCATATGTGCACGCCCCCACCCAGCCAACTCCTGCTGTGATTGGACACAGCTGGATTTTGTCAATAGGTTTCAGCCAATGATTCATGGCTAAGACCTGCTGTTCAGCTGTGTCCAGTCATAGCCAAGCGCCGTGTGTTGACAAAACACAGAGGGCTTTGTACAAAGAGAATTATCTGTTTGTTTCTTCTCCTTGCAATGCAGTAAAAAGCAGCACATATCACACATATTACACTTGTTAGGCACACACTTAACCCCTTGATTACCACGAGAGGTTAACCTATTCCCAACCTGTGTCCTTAGTACAGTGTATAGTATTATCACTGATCACTGTCTTAGTATCACTGGTGATGTCAGTGTCAGTTAGTGATTGCCTGCCACACAGTCCCACTATAAGTCATGATCACCACCATTACTAGGTTAAAAATAAATAAATAAAAATTCTAGTAATATAATATACCATAGTTTGTAGACGCTATGACTTTCACACAAACCAAAATCAATATACACTTACTGGGATGTAGCAGAATACATTTGGGCCTAAATATATAAAGAAATTTTTTTTATTGAATATGTTTTATAGTAAAAAGTAAAAAAAAAAAAAAAAGTTTTTTTTTTAATTTTCAGTTTCTTTTTTTATTGATAGAATAAAAAAAATAGATAATAATAATATCTTGTTCTTTCATTTTGTATCTTTTTATTTTTATTAATAACATTTCAATAAACAGGTTGAAATCTAAAAAAAAAAAAATCAAAGCTGGAATATATCCCTTTAAGAGAATAGTTAATGAACACAAAATTAAAACCCTACACAGCGATACTGATGATCATATAAAAAGTCATCCTGGCTACTTGGACATCTGGTGCGTATATCAAAAACACTTTTCCTAACCTAATCAATGTAGAAAGTGTATAGTAGCAAATTTACACAAGAAGTCGACACTTCCCACGAGGAACATGTAAAGACTGATTAAAGACAAATAGCAGACGCATACTCAGGTCCAAGATATTCTTCAATTTTAAGAGAACCTTTTATCAATTTGTTTTTATAAATTAGAGGCAAACAGTATAGTATGGAATGTTAGAGCTCTTTTCACCTGATCAATATCACCGAGGTGTCCGTGAATGTCCTGACAGAGCTCCCGGAGTATGCTCACTGGACTCTTGAACAGAGAATGCATGCTGAACAGAAGAGTCATTGCACTTTTACAGAACTGGACATCCTCTGTAGAAACAACAGAAGCTACAGTAAGCACAGAGGAAAACTCACCAGTGCCCTCACTAAAATTGCTGGGAATTGAGATTTACATTCCTGGAGATCACAAATAATACACAGTACTTTGTAGAAAGACCCCTCTACACCTGCGTAACAATCTGGTCTTGATGCTCTAGACCAGAGGTCCCAAAACTTTCTAATCAAAGGGCCAGTTTACTGTCCTTCAGACCTTAGGGGGGCTGGATCATGACCATCAGAAGTAGAAACCGTCCTGGCATCAGTGGGAGTAAGCAATGCCCCATCTCTGATGTCATTGAGAGGAATTTTGCCCATCCTTGGTCCCATTGGGAAGAATTGTGCCCCTTTGTTGGTGTCATTGGGAGGAAGTGAGCCCCATCGTTGGTGTCATTGGGAGGAAATCTGCTTCATCTTTGGTGTCAGTGGGAGGAACAGTCCCACAAAGGTCAGATACAAGCAACCACAGGGCCGCAACCACAGGGCCACATCCGGTCCCTGGGCCACAGTTTGGAGACCACTGCTCTGAACCAGTGGTCTCCAAGCTACATCTCGGGGGGCCAAATGCAGCCCTTTGCATACCCTTCTCCGGCCCTTGGGGCTCTCCCACTGATATGAGGCATGATTCTTCCCACTAACACCAACAGTGGGGCACTCTTCCTTCCACTAACACCAACAATGGGGCACTCTTCCTTCCACTGACACCAAAAACGGGGTATCCTTCCACACAGATAACAATGATTAGGCACTATTCCTCTCACTGACACCAATGACAGGACATTATTCCTCTCACTGACACCAATGATGGGGCACTATTCCTCCCACTAACACCAATGAAGGGTCACTATCCTTTCCACTGACACCAACAATGGGGCATTATTAGTTTCACTAACACGAACACTAATGATGGGGCACTATTGTTTTCACTGACACCAATGATGGGGCACTAATATTTCCCTTAATACCAAAGATGGGACATCGTTTATCCTCACTGATTCCAGGGCATTTTCAATTCCCACTGGCCACGGTCCTGCCCCTTAAAGTCTAAAGAACAATAAACTGGCCCTTTGCTTAGAAAGTTTGGAGATCCCTGCTCTAGACAAGCACAAAACATGTATATAGGCCATCCAAAGTCAGTATGAAAATTGTAACCTCCTCTGTAGACTGCTTAGGGTCAATGTCACAGCAAGAAATGTGTTTCAAAGTGTGACGCTTACATTTCAATATAATTACTGGTGACGATGGAAGATAAACACCCCACAATAACTTGTATAATAATTCTTACCATAACTGGTTTCTTTACAAACTTTGACAATCCATGAGAGCATCTGCACATACTAGAAAGAAAGAAACATAAAATTCTATTTTACAGTCAATATTCAAAAACCAAACAAAGCAAGTATATTTAGGTTTGTACATTTATTTCATTCATTTTACACAGCACTAACAAATTACAGTGTGCAACAGTCAAGGGCATCAGCACTGAATTAGCATCACATAAGCACATTCTCTGACCTGCTGAGAAGAAGGATCCAGAAACCGATACAGTATAGATAGGATGCTGACCAACAGCACAGCTTCTTTACTATTAAATTCATCTTCCCCACAGTCAAGCTGGTTTGTAAGAGACCTCTGTGTATAGAAGATACAACTGATATTACAGTGAATATGCAAACACTAGCAGTATTTTTACCAACATATGACACCAACTTCAACAAAAGAAACAAAAAATAATATCCCTCCTGTGCTGATCGCATAACAAGTCTTCAGTCACATGATCACTAAAGCCTAGTACACGGGGCCAAATGTTAGGCAGCATCGGCTGGTTCAATAAAATACAGCCGACATTTGGCCCCGTGTGTATGGCGGCCAGCTTCAGTCAAAGGGGTATGACCGAAAAATGTCTGCTGATCGAATGAGAGCACTGACGGGTGTGTTCTGACGGGGGTGCCATCCCCCCTGTCAGAACACAATAGTTCAGCGGGGCAGATCACTGTACGAACATCAAATTTTTTTCGTTCAGCATGCTGGGTTGGGGAGATTTCTCCTCACTTCCTGCCTTGGTGACCACTCTCTCTAAAGCAGCCAATAGATTCTGCAATTATCTTTTTCACCCATGGTAAAGAAAGAAAATTGCTTGATTTCCCCCATCAATACTGACTTTGAGAATCCCTCCCTGAGCACTATTGTGTTCTGCCGACAGGGAGCCTTCCCTGCTGGCAGAACACAACAATCACTGCTGGCGGCTACAGTGATCGCATAAAAAAAATCTGACAGGCTCATTGTACTTAAGTCGTTCGATGGATAGATGGTACAAGCATTCTGTCCACACATGGATCGAATCTCAGCCAGTTCCTGTTGAACCAGCCAAGATTTGATCCATCCATGGCATTAGACAGAAATGGGGGATATTATCCCCAACGGGACACAGCAACAAAAAGCTGACAGTTTCTAATCTTTCTCCATAATACATCTATTGTTGTGGATTTAAAGCAATCGGACTTTCTTTTTTGAGTAGAAGAAATTGGTTGGAGCTCCTTTGAATAAAGGTTCAAATAAAAAATCAGCTCAGATATACTGTATGTAAACCCATATCTCTCACAAACAATGCCGAATATACAGGAAACATCTGTACATTGCAAACACCAACAAATTGTACCAGGAAAAACAGAATTCCTAAATGTTAAAACAGAATCCTTATTTATTAAAGGAGTTTCCTCCAAGGGAAAAAAAAAAGTGAGAAAACACTTTCTAATCTTGAGCCTTTTTAGATTGGCTCACATTGCTTCGTCTTTCCAAATGAGAACATATTTTTGACTTAAGCCGTATTCACATAGGCTGCAACCCAATACTCTGCGCAGAGAGGTGTGTTTTGGAGTCTGCATTTGCGCTGAGCTGCGTACAGACACACTGTCTGCGATCAGGACCCATTAACCCGCCCCTGCACCACTGACAAATTTTGACAAGTGGCGGTGTCCATGCAGTCACGGTGTCTGCATCCACTTCCATGTGCTGCCTGCATACAGCTCAGGGTGAATGCAGAAGCCAAAACAAATGCCTCCTGCGCATAAAAGGAGTACCAGCGCCCGACTGAATGAGGTCTAACTGCTGGCTAGAATACCGCATTTTGTAAGTGAAAGTGATTTGATTGTGTTCATGCTGATCTATAACTGAAAGGAGGTAGCTACATTAAAAATCTAAAAACATTACAGATGTGTTCTTTGGGGAGTAGGTCAGCCAGACATTATAGGCATTTTTGTGATAACTATGTACCAATAATTTCAGTTACGCAGAACGTTCGCTCAAATTGTCGAAGTATTGTTCTACTGAAGAAATGAGTCAGCAACTGAACTTGTAGCCATTACAAGTAGTCAGTAACAAGGCTGTGATAGAGGAAAAGGGAAGCTCTGTTACACCTAAAGAGCTCAGGTGAAGTGTAGAATCATAAAAAGTTTAGAGTGTAGCACCCTCCTAGTAGATTGCTAGGCGAGGTACAATTAGTTCTTTTAGCATTACTGTGATCAGGTGAGTAGGTTGTGACTATTTTGGGCTGTTCTGCGTCTTGCTGGTTGCAGATTTGATTACCTTCCAGAAGCCTGCAGAAGTCAGGGAGAATCAGTGGTCTAAAAGAGTCAAACAGGCAGCCTGTTTATGTGGTCCTAGCCAATCCCTTGGGGAGGGTGCCCAGTAGGTGGCTGGGAGAGTGCATGAAAAGCGTGAGGCCTGCAGCAGAGAGGTTCTTGTCTAGGTAGAGAAGAACCAAATGAAAGGGCTACCGCCCCTTCTGGGCAAATTTAGATGTGCTTCATTTCTTCGTCAAAGCCCCTCCTGTGTTAGAGCTGGAGGAAGGGGGAGGTTGAAGAGAGTCTAATGAACTTTGCTGGTGTTGATAAAAGGATTTTTTTCAGGGGATTTGGTATGAAGAGTTCACAGGCTGATATTGGAATGAGGCATCCAAATATCCAAGGACTTTTGTGAGTACAGACCAGTGTGCGAGACTCCAGTGACTGTGTACTGCTTCTATCCCTATTGCATCAGCCTGTGCTTTAAAGTGGACATTTCTTATGGTTTCCCTGTGTAGTTCAGCCCATCATTTGCTGGTGAAAGGACTGTGCTACGAAGCTTGATAAAAGAAAAAAAAAAAAAAGTGTCCTCAACTTACTCTTTAAAGCAGACCTCCGGGGAAACATTTTTTACCCCTTGCAGTGGGGCTGTGCCCGCACTGCATGGGTTAACTGCTTGTCTTGGGGTGAACACAGAGCTTATACTCACCCAATCCTTCGATCCTCCGAAAAGGAGGATCTATGAGCCAGAGCCAGTCTATAGGCATGACTACGTCAAGAACAGTCCACCATACAAGACCGCTAGAGTGGGGGGGGGGGGTTCTAGGAGTGGCAGGGACCGGTATCGGCGGATTAGGCGAGTATCTCAGCTCTCCTCTCCCCTTGACAAAAACAAGCAGTTAACCCATGCAATGAGGACATATTTGCTTGGAGTTCTGCTTTAACTGTACTGGAGTGTCCCACAGACCCTCCATACAAGTTCAAACTGAATAAAGCATTAGAAAAATGATACCCCTGGACTAATCATGGAGTTAAAAGAGTGACATACTGTGTGCCTGGCTAGGGAAAGAACCCTGGGACCAATGTACTAGCTAGGAAAAGAACCTTTGGACCATTCAGCAGGCCCTTTAGGGAGTGAGCACTACAAGTGTTATGAGACATCCAAATAGAAGTACCCACATTATAGAAACAGTTATAAAACATACTTGAAACTGGGAAATCTGAAAGGCAGCCTTCGCCATGATATTTGTTTCTTCGGATTCCTCTTCACTGTCATTATCTAGAAATATAGGTTATCAGATCACAGATGACACAATGTTAAAGCCATTACATTGGACAGATGGTAAGTTGTTTTTGTGGTTTTAATTAAGAGCTTTACATTAACACGAACACTTTGGCTTAAAAATTCATCAAAGTAATAAATGACATATCATGTACTACATGTCTAAATTTTAAAGCAGACTTTGTATCAAACGTTACCTTTAGGGCAGTGTTAACAGTCCTGCCCGGATTAATAAATGAAGACAAAAAACGCTGCGCCGCTAACCCTCCTGTACTCAACGTATTGCCAAAAAATTTGGTTACACTACCAAACTGAAAAGAGGCATGGAGGAGCTCAGCTATGAGGAAAGATTAGAGGAACTGAATTTATTCTCTGTTGTGAAGAGGGGGGGATATGATCACCATGTATAATACATAAGGGGGGATATGATCTCCATGTATAATACATAAGGGGGGATATGATCACCATGTATAATACATAAGGGGGGATATGATCACCATGTATAATACATAAGGGGGGATATGATCTCCATGTATAATACATAAGGGGGATATGATCACCATGTATAATACATAAGGGGGGATATGATCAACATGTATAATACATAAGGGGGGATATGATCTCCATGTATAATACATAAGGGGGGATATGATCTCCATATATAATACATAAGGGGGGGATATGATCTCCATGTATAATACATAAGGGGGGATATGATCACCATGTATAATACATAAGGGGGGATATGATCTCCATGTATAATACATAAGGGGGATATGATCTCCATGTATAATACATAAGGGGGGATATGATCTCCATGTATAATACATAAGGGGGATATGATCTCCATGTATAATACATAAGGGGGGATATGATCTCCATGTATAATACATAAGGGGGATATGATCTCCATGTATAATACATAAGGGGGGATATGATCTCCATGTATAATACATAAGGGGGGATATGATCTCCATGTATAATACATAAGGGGGGATATGATCTCCATGTATAATACATAAGGGGGATATGATCCCCATGTATAATACATAAGGTGGATATGATCTCCATGTATAATACATAAGGGGGGATATGATCTCCATGTATAATACATAAGGGGGGATATGATCTCCATGTATAATACATAAGGGGGATATGATCACCATGTATAATACATAAGGGGGGATATGATCTCCATGTATAATACATAAGGGGGATATGATCTCCATGTATAATACATAAGGGGGGATATGATCTCCATGTATAATACATAAGGAGGGATATGATCTCCATGTATAATACATAAGGGGGATATGATCTCCATGTATAATACATAAGGGGGATATGATCTCCATGTATAATACATAAGGGGGATATGATCTCCATGTATAATACATAAGGGGGATATGATCTCCATGTATAATACATAAGGGGGGATATGATCTCCATGTATAATACATAAGGAGGGATAAGTGGGTACCCACTGTGCATGCGCGAGTAGCTCTGTGCTTCATGAATGGTCCTGTAGTCTTCTGAGACCTGTCACGTGTCCCAAAAGACTACAGGGAGGGAGGAAGGACACCTTCCATTTCCGTTCGCGGGTGCGGGTCAAATTCAGGTACCCGCCCCCCAAAGGTGCCAATCCTTAATGGGGAGCGGGGAGCAGTGGAGCAGTCCTTAAAGCGGAACTTCCTCTTTTGGCTGGAGCTCCGCTGTAAGATTTAAAAGGGACAGAGCACCTTTTTTTTTTTTTTTACAGGGTAACTCGAGTCTGATAATCAGGATTTTTTTATTTTTTTTTTTAGGTGTAGCAGTCTTTCATTAACTTAAACTAAGCACAAGGTTTCTTATATAGGATATTAAAATGTGTTTAAAATTCCTTTATTTGCTCGCACAATACAAGATTCATAATAAAAAAAAACGTAAAGCCTAAAGTTCACCTTTACATAAAAAAATAATAAATGCACATAATTTTAAAAAGTAAAATGTGCATTTATTTATTTTTTTTTGAAACAGCAGACTGCAAAGTATTGCACTCGAGAAGATCATGGGTGCAATGTCAGGCTCCTTCACATACTGCTTACAGCTCTGTTGCCCATCTCTGTACAGGCTGTCATTTTCAGAGCTGTAGGAATGTGAATGAACCACGGGCACGCTGATAAACATGCCCACAGTTAATTTAAACTAAGAGTCCATCTGACACAGTGGCAGACAGTATTTGTAGTTTATTCTTTCACATGAATCTGTGAATGAATGACACGGCTGTGTGGGCCAAACCCCATGCAGCCAAGTTATTTTTAAAAAAAAGGACAAAGGTGCGGGGAGAAGAGCCCCCGCCCACTGTCACTGGGTGGGGATCAGAGGGAGAGGGCGCTGGAGCGCAAATACAGGTGGAAATGTAACATTTTCCAAAGGTGAACTTATCCTAATCCACAGAGAGATTCTGTACATAAAATAAACTTACCCAAAGCTGCCAGGAACTGTGAGATCTTTTTTTGGGTAGCGCAGCTGAATAGTGTAAAAGATCTGCACCAAACCCTCTAGACACATTAGAGAAATGTTCTTCCCTTTATCCTTTTTCCCAGAATCCTCAGCAGCAGATGGGATAGATGTGTATCTCCACATTAACACCCTGTAACAGATAAAAAAGCCAGTCACAAAAGGAGATGCAATTTTATCACTAGCCACTACAAAACAGATTGGACAACACATCTATATAGTGAACTAAATAACCCACTAGACTCATTTAGAAATGAAAATGATTGACTGCTTTACCTTGAAATTCCAATGAGGTTTAAATTTGGAAATAGCTTTTGGAACTATAGGTGTGCAGATAACAGAGGAACATTAGTCATCTCAAATTGTTTCAGTGAAGGAGTTCCAAAGTTCCAAATGTGCTTCTAGGCATTGACAAAGCCTTTTAATTTTTTTTTTTTTTTTTTTAATCCATCCCCTGACCTGTGCCTGTTCACAGGTTTATCCTGGAAATCTTTTGACAGTGCCTTGCCACCCATAGTTAATGGTTTGCTTCAGTTGCACTACTGGGACTGAAATGCTTCAGGATAGCTCTTTTCATGCTAAGGCAATCAAAATGGCCACAGCGTATCACATTAGAAAGTCAAATGGCTTTGGATGCCATTGATAAGGTGATTAGCTACACTTGATTGAGTTTTCAAGTCATTTTTTTTTAGGAGGGGAGTGATCCTTTTTCCAACTTGGTGATTCTGTTGATTTTTTTTTTTTTCCCTGACATCTTCGTGTTATATCATTAACTTGGCTGTTATAAGATGGACTGAATAAATAAAGCTAGATAAAACAAAAACTGTGTGTCTTTATTTCAGGCTACAAAGCAAAAAAAATTTGATTTTAAAGGGGGGGGGGGGGGGTTCTTTGCTATACTAACCGTATATTACTGTAATGCACAGAAAATTTTCAAATTCTCCGTTTCACTGTAATTGCTCTGCTTCCATGTCCAACAACTGATGTCTTTAATCTGATTGAGTTGCCTAATAGATAGTCAATGAGAAATAATATGCACAAGGAAGCAGAGCCTGCATATGTAACAAACAAGAACGGCTGTCCATGATTATATAACATTTAGGATACACAGAAAGTAGGCTTTTAGAAAACATTACCAGAGCATTGATAAGAGCACAATTGGCCATTTTGTACATTACCTGGTAATCTCACAGATACTATGAAACATTTTGTCGCTATTCTGTCCATCAGGCCCATCAGTGACCCCTGTCTCCTTCAGCTGCTGTATTTTCTGAAGTGCAACAGACACCGTGTATCTCATAAAGTCTAGACTGGCTCTCAGAACACTAAGGCTTTCCTCGTGCTTCCTTGTACTATCTCTGAAAGTAAAAGCATATAAAGCTGAAAGCAACAGAAAAAAAAAAAGCACAGAATACCAGCTGCAGAATAACCGATCTTAAAACACAGGATCAAAATATAACAGAAATAGTTATTGATGCAAGAACTGATATTGTACCTGAATAATGCAGTTAAAAGTGTGGAAACAAATCCCATAGACAGCAAGCTTTTACATGCTTTACTATTGCCGGAAGGTTTTGATTTTCCAGATTTTTCTTTCAGGATATCAGCCAGTTTGCTGTAACATTTAAAAATTCCCATAATGTCTTCAAATTTGCTTTTACTGTAAATAAAAAGGTGAAAACATGGGTGTCACACTGCAGTAAGAACCAGGGGAATCAGGCTGTAAATCATGCAAAAATATATCTATCTTTCTTCACATGAAAATTTACAAAAAAAATATAATTCTAATTACAGAAATATAATATCAAAAAGTAGGCCTCGGATATTATGTATCAAAAGATATTGTGATTGATTTTACAGTATAAAACTGGAGTGTGTGAAATCTGGTGCAGCTGTATGTGGCAGCCAATCAGCTTGTAACTTCAGCTTGTTCACTTAATCTTCGACAAAAAAAAAAAAGAAAAGAAAAAGGAGGCGGATTGGTTTCTATGCAGAGCTGCACCAGATTTTACACTCTACCGTTTCAGTAAATAAACTCTATTATCTATTAACCGATGCAAGATTCTAATCATCTAAACTTCTTCTTGGCATTAAGCTGTACCACGCCACTGTGTTCCCAAAATATCAGCGCTCTAGGACTGAAAAATCCCTTAAGCAATAAAAGCTAACCCAAACTGTTGGATTACATCTGCTCCTAGCAGGAGACTATACATTCAACAACCAGCACTTAGAAAATGTCAATTGTCCTTAAAATGTTCCCACAATAGTCCTCAAACACAATGAGAGCCTCTTCATTCATGGATCAGAATAAAGTACATGGGTGAAAAATAATATGCGTAATAGTATCCCTTCTCATCCACAGAGATGTTAACCAAGATGTCCATGCAAGAGATTAATAAATGGCCACAGTGCAGTATGTTCAAATAAAAAGGACATTTATTTTTTCCCCTGTACACTTACTTTCAGGGCTGTGGAGTCGGAGTCGTGGAGTCGGAGGAGGAAATTTTGGGTACCTGGAGTCGGAGTCGGCAAACAATGCTCCGACTCCGATTAAATTTAGATTGGAACTAAAAAAAAAAGCAAGTTTAAATGTCCCAATTCACAAAAAGTTATAATTAATGACTTCTCTACTGTAAGAATAAAGACCAATGCATGCAGTGCCTCACGTAACTGCAAAACGAACGCGTTAAGTGACCGTGAAGAAGCATGCTTTTCATGTGCTTCACTATATGGCACGCAACACACAATTAGGAGCGGCAATACTTATACTTTCCATAGTGTTTTACAGATTTTGTTTTTGGTTCATATAGATAAGCTTTGTTTTTGTTCTAAAACAACCAAATAATGTGGTTTGTATTTTTGGACTGGTAAAGTTCCTGTTCCTGATGTTTATGCCTGCTGCTACTATCCAGCCACTTGATTAATTAATAAAAAAAAATTAATAAAACTTTGTTGTTTTCATTGTGTTTGTCTTTTTGCTTAAACTGTTCAATACAGTAGACTGTTGGCTTCCCAGCCAGTAGTCCTGTGGTAATGACATGTATGTTGCCTTTCTTTCCTTCAAGGAATGTATAAAATACATTTGCATATTAATACAGAGGAGTCGGAACATTTATCTACCGACTCCACAGCCCTGCTTACTTTCTGATGCATTTTCTCCAATAGGACTTCTTAACCACTTGTCGACCGCACTATTTCTTCCCCCATACACTTACAAAGAATGGTAAAAAAAAAACCAAAAAAACGCATGCAAACCAGCATCAAAGTTGGCCGCAACGGCACTTCTAGCGCATGTCTGATGCATTTTTAACCACTTGCCTACCAGGCACTTTTCCCCCTTTCTGCCCAGGCCAATTTTCAGTTTTCAGCGCTGTTGCACTTTGAATGACAAATTGCACAGGGATGCAACACTGTACCCATATGACATTTTTTATCAAACCTTTTTATTTGAACATATTGTACTTAGACCATTTATTGATTTCTTGCATGGACATCTTGGTTAACATCAGTGTGGATGAGAAGGAATCCTATTCGGATATTATTGTTCACCCGTGTACTTTATTCTGATCCATGAATGAAGAGGCTCTCATTGTATTTGGTGAAGACTATTGTGAGAACATTTTGATGAACTTTTAAGGACAATTTCTAAATGCTGGTTGTTGAATGTATGTACTACACCACTACCATTTAAAGAAACATTGAAAATCAAAGTTGTACCCACCATGCACTGGGTCCCATTTGATCGTGCTGCTCAGCAGATGAATAACTACTAAGTTCTCTTGTCTTTGGCAGCAGTCATTGGATGGAGAAAAGAGCCATTATTCAGCACAGCAGGAGGAAGGGAGTCTGCCACTGACAATCCCATGTGTGCGTTTGTGTGTTCATAGAGTACACATACACTGGATTGTTGGTAGCAGAAGTTAAGAGACAAAGAAGAATTGCTGCATAATTTACTTGTTGGAGGCACAATCTATGTGCTCACAGCACACAGATGAGAGGGGGAGATGGCATAGAGTGCTGTGCTGTAACATCCCCATTGGAATGCTCATAAACCGGGCTTTAGCCTAGGGTGGAGCTGACAGTCAATGGAGAAAAAAAAAAAAAATTATGTGCACATAGACAATTTGGAAACTATAGTGAGACTTTCAAGTATATGCAATACCATTTTTTTAAAAATACAAGTAGAAAGTAGCTAAAACCCTTGTACAGTTATTTTCACTGGCTGTGTGCCACTGGGGAGATTTTCCTTCAAGTTCCCAGAAACAGGGATAGGAATTCTTTCCAAAGTAAGGTTGGCTGAACTAAAAAAAATAAACATGGTAGTGAATGGAGGAATCCTCAATCTTGCCCAACCCACCCTTCCTGCCAGGACATTGGTATTTGACAGTGGTGCCTGCCAGAATATACTGATCAGTGGTAGCTGATTGGGTGCAGCTGCTGACTGTTGAGAAATAATCCAACATGTCCCTTCAACAGAAGTTGATTAAACAATTGATTTCTGTGGAGCGGGGAAGCTTACACACTGATCTAATTCATGCAGTCCCTGCTGGACCAACCAATGTTCAATTAGAGTATGGCCAGCTTAAAGCCAAATTCCAGGCATGTCAATTTTTACATATTTACATTGGTCCAGTGTGCACTAATGTAAGTTTTGTATTTGCCATACCTTTGGGATCACTGTGGAAGCTGGAAACCAATGTTACGACAGTGATTGCCGCTAGCTTCTGGGTCCCATGCTAAGGGAATGCACAGTTGCTTACTGAACACAAAAGGTTGCTCGCTCTGCACTAGCGCCATTCAGAGAATACTTTTCAATTTGTCAATGAATGCAAAGAGTACTTTTATTGAACGAAGTGGAGGTTGTGACATCACTGCGCCACCTCTCCACCCTGTCCAATAATGAAATGCTTTACATTCACTGAAAAAATGCTAATTGTTCCCTGAGTGGCACCCGTGCCGAGCAAGCGGGACCTTGAAGCTAGTGGAGGATCATTGACGTAGTGGTGCCTACTACAGCGATTTCCAGCTTCCACTGTGATCCTACACAAGTACGGCAAAAAATACTTACACTGTTACAAGCTGGAGCAATGTAAAAAATTGCCATACCTGGAATTCAGCTTTAGGAGAATAGCTCATTCAACTGTTGCCACCTAGAATAAGTGTCCCACTGGAACTTCATTTAATTCCTGTTTAGTGACAACTCAAAATTGTGTATTTTACCCTTACTCCCAAGTCCAGGTGACCGTGATCATCAAGATAAATAGAAAGGATGATCCTTCCCCACTGGGGATGCAGACAGCAATAGGAGGTTTCCCACCTTTCTCTACACTATCCAAAAGGGAAAAAAAAAATGATTTTGGATACACTTGAAGGAGTTAAATTGAAAGGTAAATAAAAGGTATATACCACATACCTAAAAAGTAACAATAAACAGACCATGCACACTATATTCTAAGATGATCCCAAAAACGTATTTCTTATGTAAGGGCAAGCCAGTAGGACAGATGGTACATAAGCTGCTTCTAAATCTTTTGCAGATAATAAAATACTTGGTAAAAAATATTAAGTAATTGGTTATCAACGTAAGAAAAATGAAATATAATAGACAGCTTTTCTTACTTGAAGTTTGCTGTGGTAAAGTTGTACTCAATCAGAACCTCACAAACTCCCATAACCAAAACAGCATAGGTATAATTTTTCATCCCAACACTGGAATTTGTAGAGAAGTCAGCTGACTTGTCCTAGTACGGTTGAAGAAAAGAACAATAAATTCTGCCTGTAACAATGAAAATTGTACTTTCTCATTTAGAGAAAAAAACATTACCAATTCAAACTCTTCCAAATCACATTTGGTCATTCTTCTTGTGATAGATTGCAACATTTCATCAATTTCTTTCCGGCATGCCATGTAGTCGTCGTCATCGTTCTCATCTTCCATGCCCCTCTCCTGCAGGACATTGCTCTTCTGCTTATACCAGCTCAGGCAATTATGAATACTGCTCAGTAGGTGTGCCTAGACAACAGGAGTGTCAGAATGTTATAAAATGACTAATAATTTCCCTTTGGGATGAAAAAAGTATTTTGAATCTGAATAAGCAAAAAGAAGAGTATTATTTTCGGCTATCTAGTTCTCAGCAACCTACATAATATAAATGCTGCATATACATGCAGGCTGAACACAAGAAAACATTTGGTGTGCCTATAATCAAAATGTATAGCTTTTCACTATCATTTACTATTATCATAACGGTCACAACTAGAGGTGGAAAGGCCTGGGGGAAAAAGAAAAAAAAAAAAAAAAAAAAAGAAAAACAAACACCACATGGATTGGCAAAAAATTTTTTTTTTTTTTTTCCAAAACAGTTTTTTGGGGGTTTTTTCTCCCCTAAAAAAAACAAGGAGTGTGGAATATGTTCTTTTACAGTGATAAATAATATATCTATGACATGTTACTAATACTATATAACAGGGCTTGAAAGCCGCTCGCCCGCTCGCCAAATGCGAGGGGAAATCCTTGTGTGGCGAGCAGTGGCGTCCCGAGGCAGGTGCGGGGGGTGCGGTCCGCACAGGGCCACTCCCAGTATGAGTAAGAGGAGGAGGGAGAAGGGAGAAAGGAGGGAGGGGAGAAGGGAGAAAGAGGGAAGAGGAGGGAGGGGAGAAGGGAGAAAAGGGGAAGAGGAGGGAGGGGAGAAGGGAGAAAAGGGGAAGAGGAGGGAGGGGAGAAGGGAGAAAGGGGGAAAGAGGAAGAGGGGAGGGGAGAAGGGAGAAAGGGGAAAGATGAGTGAAAGGGAAAAAGGGGGAAGACAATAGAAAGGGAAAAAAGGGGGGCAAAAAGGAAATGCAAATCATAAACAAACAATAGCCAATCATACAAACAATACAAACTGGACATACCCGCAAGAGAAAAAACCCATAAGGTGAGGCCCTGTGCCTCCACCCATCCAGCCCATATTCTATCAAACTTAGCCGGACAGTTACGACTTCTCTTAATACTCTTAATGAAAGCTTATGAACATTAAAATACATGGCTTTTGTCTCTCTCACCAAAGGTTCTTGCAGTATAATTTGCTCTTTTTGGGCTGCGATACACCTCTCAAGCTTCAGTGGTGGCAACAGATCCGGTTCTGGTTCATAATATCGCTTTAACTGTACAAAACAGCAGTGAACAAAGATTAGACAAAGACAAATAGAAAACCCCAACTGAACGTCACACACTGAAATGGACACATAGGGAATCTGTTACCCGATGTGTTGAGTTTATATGTAAATAGTGCTTGGTGGAGATGTTTCTAAATTCCTCCCAGTCACAATAACAACCCAGCAGCTAGTGCTGGTACCTAGATATGTCATATCAATTAGCAAAGTGGCCTTGTTTTAAGCAGTAAGCCCTGGTGCACAGTGAATACGACTTTTAAATCTCGCTACTTCACTTGAAGTAGTGCGGTTTCAAAGCCACAGATCAGTGCAATTCCTACCTCTGACTTCACTGCGGCTTGCAAGTCATGATGAAATCATAAAATAAGTAGTGCAGGAACTATTTTTTAAATCTCGCTACTTCAGATCGCACTGATTAAGACAGTACCATAGAAATACAAAAGATGTGACTTCAGGTGTGATTTGTAAATCACATGCCGCACCCGAAGTTGCACCGGTGTGAGTCCAGCCAGCACCACCTTGGTCAGCAAAAGTTACATTAAAAAGAAGTTGGGTCAGGTGGAATATTATCATTCAGTTATATCTGATCATCATCATATCAAATGCAGCCACTGTTCAGCAGCTGGTAGTGGAGATTTCTCCATCAAACTGTAGTACAGCAGGGGGTTCAGGACAGTAAGAGCTCTTTTTCATTTGTGGTATGGGGAAAGTAATCCCCCCCCAAGCACTGGCATAACGTCAGGGGTCGTAACGGTGACCCCACCCCCATGCTCCATGGGGCTCGTGCGGCCTCCCTGTCACATTCTGTTTTACACTTGGACAGGAGTGGCGGGGACGTCACCTACAAGAAACGATCCTCTCCATTTTCCTCTTGCAAGCACTGAAAGCAGGCTCCTCTTCCTCCTGCCCGGAATTCAGTGGCTGCAGGAGAAAAATGTTCATAATTCTATCCTAAATAAAAAATTTTAAATTCTGAACCATTTTATTTTATTGTGGCCCATGACCAGTTACCAAACCACTTAAGTGGCCCTTGCTCTTCAAAAGGTAGAACACCCCTGCTCTATAGTGAGCACTGTCCTCAATCCAAAGCACCAAGTGTAGTGCCTATCTGCTTTCTTACTCACTTGATGGGTAATGCCATAACCACAGATGGAGGGAGGGAGGCCTGCGCACCCCAGGACACAGAGGGTGATTGACAGTCTCAGCTGTGCTCTTTTCCTTATGATACTGTGTGTGTGTGTAGGACAGAGTGTGCTTTACTCTCCCACTCAAGGCTCTGTGCTCTGCAGCGTGACATCAGATCCTTGCCCCCTACCTGCTAGAGCTCAGAGATGCTCTATAAAATGTGTTCTTTATGAGGCTGCAGAGAAGCACTGTTGCAGATAAACAGGTACACCTTATGTAGGATGATTTATTTCATCTGTGTATCACCTGAGGCCACTCACTTCACTGGGTATATATAACACACAAAGCCACAACAAATTCTTTTAACACTAATGCATCTTTACAAGTTGTCAGGAATTCCCTACACCAGCTTTCTGCCAGTTAAAATCTCCTTGCCTGGGGACACAGTGAATTCTAGTAGGTATATTGAAGAAACCTATGAAATCCATGTTCCAGACTTTTTGGTAGCACGGTGCCAAGGATCAAGCGGTGACTGTTATAAGTACATGTAAAGTGTATGAAAAGAAATAGACTGGTAGAAAATGAACACAAATAAAGGCAAAAAATGTATAACAAATCGGATTTTACATGAAAGAAACATCCATTTTAGATTGATAATCTGCATTACTACAATTTTTCTCAAATAAAACTACTAACAGACAGACAGACATACCTGAGACACCAGTGTCTGCATGATGGGGCTGGCCAGCTGAGAGTTTCGCTTGAGCACATCATAAAAACCCTGATACAGAGAGAAAGAGAGATACAGATAAAGTGAGGCTCAGAATATATGAAAAGACTAATGCTCAACACACACGTTTCACATGTTCTGACTGTGTAACCTCCTTTAGATCTACCAACAAATGTAGTTCAAGGGTCTGTCTGACTGCCAACAGACTGATTACTGTATTTAGTTCAGGTGGGCATGCCTATTACATAGTTCTAGTAAAAGTGGATTGTAAAGAGATTGTATGGTCAGGTTGTAATGCTGACCATACATGTACAGATTATCTCTTGTCAGTCTGTGAGCTGAAAGAGCTAAGCATTTGATTTCTTCATTCACACAAAACAGCTGGAAGGAGGAATTTCCACTGACGGCTATTGTATTCAGACACCCAGAACAACAACAACTGCATCTGATGGGATGCGGTCACCATTCAGCTGAGAATTTTCCACCTAGCTCAGCTGGTTTTTAAATTGACTTTTGTCGATCCAAGTGGTGCCGACAAGGCCACTCACATCTCGAACTTTGGCTGACTCGGCAAGAATCATCAAAATTTGAGCCATGTAAGGGAAGCTTGTAGGCAGGTTGCCTACTGTAGTTAGTTAGTTATACAAAATAAAAAACTATATCCGCGCTGTATCAAAATGATATAAGGCAGCTCACACCAACAGGTAGTGTAACAAACCTATAGTTAGTTCTGGCTGCTCTAGCCAGAGGAAAGGGGTTTTTTACCGCCTTCCCCTGGCTACGTTCGCAGACTTTTCTGGGTCCAGCTCTCTGACTTTTCCTGAAAGTGGTCCCTGCTTTGTCCTGGGGCATTGATGGTATGACACAGCAACAGTTACCCCATGTGCAGGGCGAGTGACCCTACCCACAGTGCCTAGCGTAAACCAGAAGTACCCAATAAACCCCTTCCTTACTCACAAGCTTAACAATTGTGCTCAAATTAATTTAGACTACCAAAGCAACAGAAATCACAATAATGATAAAATACAGCAAGTGGTAATCATCAGTTAAGAACATACTTCATAAAGTAGACGTCGAATGTCTTCTTGCTGACTCAAACTTCTTCTCAGGCAGCCCAAAATCTCCAAACAAAATGCCTCATTTGCTGCAGAATTGTAGCGGGTATGAACATCCACCAGAACCTACAATTACAGACTTGGATATGTAAAACGAACAGTAAAATCTTAGGCCGTGCAGCATTGCTATATATGTGAGGTAATTCATACCTGGCTTGCACCAATGGCCTGGCTGCATTGTGAGGAGGACAAGCTTCCAAGAACCTTAAAATTTTTCAGTAAAAGCAAGAAACCAGCAACAGCAGACTTCCGGGCCTCTATTTGACTTATCACAAATACAAGAAAGAAACAGATAAGTCAAAGTATTTTCAAAAGTCTGTTTTACCTTAAAATGAGCATGCATACAACATAATATGGTACATATAAAAGAGCAGTCATTTCTGCATGCAAACAGTCTGGATTCAATAGAAATATACTAAATAAATATTATATACATATATAGTTTTGTTTTTTTTGTTTTTTTTTTATTTGGAGGGCCAATCTTAGGTTGATAAGCACCAATTTAAGGTTGAAATATGCTGCAGCTCTCAGAGGAACAATAAAAACCTAGAGTCATCATTTTTCATATGATTTTATTAATTTGCTTTCAGTTGCTGAATTAAGCCGCAGATAATAAGGACTGTACCTCAAGTAAACAAATATACAGTATGTAAATTCAGGACTGACAAATCACATATAGTCAGGGTTATGCAGGCCATAGATGGGGAGAAAACCGGCTGATTTTTCTTTAAAAAAAATGAAAAATTGGTCGTTCAACCGGCCGACGTTACCAGGAATGGTTAAAAAAAAAAAAAAAAAAATAGGCGGATTCTTCTTCCTCCTCTTCTTCTTCTTCCTCCTCCTCCTCTTCTTCATCCTCTTCTTCTTCCTCATCCTCTTTTTCATCCTCTTCTTCTCCTTCTTCTTCCTCTTCTTCTTCATCCTCTTCTTTTTTCTTTTTGTCTTCCTCTTGCAGGTCACTGCTCATGCGCAGATTTTTTATCGGGAAAAAGATCGGCCGATTTGCCCATAATTGCCACGAAAATCGGCCGATCGGCAAAATCAGCCGATCTTTTTCCAACTTTACAGATAAAAAAAATCTGCCAAAATACCAAAAAACGGCCGACCTATTAACCCACTAACGATCCGAAAATCGGCCGATTTTCGACCCATCTATGGCCTGCATTAGTCTTTCAGCCTTTTTTGTAGATCTATATCCACTGACCTACTTTCAGCTGGTGTTCTGTATACCCCTGTCTATTTCTTTGTGAAGGTACTAACGTCAATGCATGTTTATATAGACTGCGCTGCCGAAAATGTGAATCAAGGTTACTAAACAGTTTGCCAAGTGTAAAAGTGCAAAAAATAAATAAACAAACAATTATTTGAATGGAACCTACTGATGCATTGTACATTAGTTGCATTTTCTGGTAGTGGTCATTTAATGATTTCACGTTTACATGTGGCAAAAGGTTTAGTAACCTTGATTCACATTTTTGACAGCACAGTCTACGAGTCTCGTATATCCACATTTATAGGGTTCACTGATGTAGAAGTTAAACACATTTTGAAGACTGCAGCAGCCATAATCCCATTCATCCATGTTTTATATTTTTGTTTTCTTTTGATTTTGCCTGTGGCACTGAGTTTTCACTGTTTTTTTAACATCAATATATGCCAGTGTTTCTCAACCTTTTTTCAGTCAAGGCACCCTTTTAAAATTATGGACAGTCCCGAGGCACCCCATTCTAAAATGTGAAAAATATTCTAATAGTTTTATATAACACAGCAACATCCACACATGGAGGACACCAAACATTAGAGGAGATTCTTCCAAAGAAAATACACTTTTGCACACTGGTAATGACTAGTATTCTAATGTTTTTCTTCTCCCTCAGTTTCTATCTATCACTGAGCTAATGTGAACCCCAGCACTAACGGAGAGGGGAGGGGGAGGGTCAAACTAGGATGCTATACAGGCAACCGACATCCTCCTTATCAACTGTCATTGGAAGTCAGGATGCCAGCGTCTAGAAGGTCGTAATGGTGCGCAATGAAAACTTGTGGCTTTGTGTAACTGAAAAGGCAGGCTTACAAGATACACAAGTTTTGGCCAATTTTTAGACATTTTGCCAAGGCACCCCTGAAGAAACCTCAAGGCACCCCTGAAGAAACCTCAAGGCACCCCTGAAGAAACCTCAAGGCACCCCTGAAGAAACCTCAAGGCACCCCTGAAGAAACCTTGAGAAGGACTGATATATGCTATCAACTGAATGGGGAACAGGATTGAATTTGATGCCATTGCTGAGGACAAACAGATGTCTCACTGCTTGGTATTTACAGTAAAACATCTGCCCATGTAGCCACCCTAAGATCAGGGGTGGGGGGGGGACACAATTTTTTTTTTTTAATGCAAAACAAAAACACTTTACCTGTCACGCCAATATCTCTTTCTTCAAGAGATGATTACACAGTGTGGCAGGCAGAGGGAAAGCTTGTTACTGTAACAAACATTTGTGATCAACATGATTGGCTAGTCATGATAATTACATGATCAGGAAACACACGGATTGGTTCCTGATCCATTCTAGGTACAGCCTGGTCGTGGTCATCTCACAGGAGTGTAAAATGTGCCTGAAAGCAGGAAATGTTTCTTAAACACTGCCTGTTCCAAAGAAATCACTAATATTGGCTAACTGTGGGGCTTACATGGCCAGGAAACACAGTGTGGGTCTAAGGCAGCAATGGGCAAACTACGGCCCGCGGGCCGTATATGGCCCGACGGACCTTTTAATCCGCCCGCGGAGCGTGATAAAAAAAAAAAACAGCCAGGGCAGGCAAACATTGGCTGTCAGGATGTGTGTAGGCGGGGCAGCGTGACGAACGTGAGGGAAGCTAGGCTCCTCTCACAACCCGCCCTGAAGACCGGAACGGCGCGGGAACACGGCGAGAGGAACGCGCGGAGCAAAGGTAAGTAAATTGACACGGTGGGGGACTTGGCTTACTACTTGGGGGGGAATAGTACTATGGGGATGAAATACTATATGAGGGATGAATTAATATGGGGGATGAAATACTATATGAGGGATGAATTAATATGGGGGATGAAATACTATATGAGGGATGAATTAATATGGGGGATGAATTAATATGGGGAATAAATTACTATAGGGGGGATGAATTACTATAGGGGGGATGAATTAATAATTCATTTAATGTTACAAATTTTAATTTAATTTAAATTAATTCACACATACACATCATTCATCTACTCTTGGTCCAGCCCCCGGGTCCAATATATGAACACGTTGCGGCCCTCAAGTCAAAAAGTTTGCCCACCCCTGGTCTAAGGCCTCCTGCACACTGTATTGATGTATGAGCATCAGATATTCCTGGCAAAAAATACACAAGGATGGGCTGTACATCACTTGTGCGTATGAATGCACATATACTGACCAGCAACTTGGATTTATGCAATTTTTTTTTACTGATCAATACAGGCACTATGAAAACTCAGATCAGTAAAAAAAAATTTGTATGCCTGAAAGCTGATTGTTTTGAGGCAGCAAGAAGCCTAAATCTTCTCTGCAGTATATATGGCTCCTAGCAACAGCCTGGCTCTTGAGACTAGTGCTTTCCTGCATTTTAGCAAGACCACTAATTATTGTTCTGCCTGCATAGGAATCATCTACAGTCTATGGTTGCCAAATCGTTAAAAGAGAAGTATGGGTTAACAAAAGAAAAAAAAAATACATTTTTTACTCACCTAGGTGTATCGATCCAATGCTACGCCTTCCCCCCACCAACCCTAGGAACTGAGAACTGAGCAATCAAAGACCGCTGATCGCACGGTTCTCAGTGTTCCATGAGCAGAGAGCTGGTAACTGTCAGTCTACAGCTTTCTGCTCTGCCCATCCAGCACTCACTGGACTGTGGAGGGGTAGGGAGTGGCTGGGTCAGGCTTTCGGCAGATCGCTGGAGGTGCTGCTCCAAGATTCTAGGTGGATCCCGACCATATGGTCAGGATCTCTTCAGAGCTTGCACTGGCTCTGTGGTGTCAGCTGGCTTTAGACTGCTGTCGGCTGAAACTGGGTTACAGGAGTGCAGAACGAACTGCACTACTGTGATCCTCAGGTCAAGTATACTCAAAACTTCTCCTTTAATTATTTATAAGGAGTACGCCTAAAGTCATTTATCAATGAACACAATATCAATGAGCTGTATTCTACACCATGGATTGTTAAATCGGTAATAAAAGCTTACCTACAAAACATTGCCTTCCTTAGAACAAGGATGATACAATCCCTCACAGATATATTTATCTTGAAGAGAGGCTGTAATGACAGAATATAAATTAAGGACGGTACTCAGAAACATGTAGGTAGATCGTGAGTGAGCATCCTAAAGCGTATGTCAAACCAGTTTAGGATGGAGCATGACAGAGTTAGAACCCCTATCAGGTTTTTACTAACTGGGACTCTGTCAGAGAAATTTACCCTAATGTACTGTCCACTGATGCTTTACCAGGCAGATAGTGAGAACTCTCCAACAGTAAGACAGACAGAAAAAAAATGCTTGTCTTTAATAATTAAGGGGGCTAGAACCCCTGTCAGGTTTTTATTTCTGTGTACTGCTCATGCCCACTGTACTCTTGTATAGGTACAGGTTAGTGCCTACCTACCTGCAAAGCTTTGAGTAGGCCCAGCACTGTAGAGAAGGGCAACTGGAACAAATGGTCAAAAGCTGCAGTCAGTTTAGAGGCCGAGTTCTGAAGAATTAAGGGTGTAGCATACACAATATCAGAGAGAAGATCTGCAAAAAAATGTAAATATGTTTTAACCACTTGACCTTCGGCAGGTTTTACCCCTTTCATGACCAGGACATTTTTTTTTGCTACTCAGCACTGCGCTACTTTACCTGGCAATTGCGCTTTCATGAAGCACTGTACCCAAATTAAATTTGTATCTTTTTTTTTTTTTTTTTACACAAATAGGAGCCATCTTTTGGTGGTATTTGATCACCACTGGGGTTTTTATTTTTTATTATATAAACAAAAAAAGACCGAAAATTGTTTTGGGGAAAAAAAAAAAAAAAAAAAAACACAATATTTTCTATTTTCCACTATAAAATATATCCAATAAAAAAGAACAAATGTAATTTCTCCATAAACCTAGGTCAAAATGTTTTCTGCGACATGTCTTTAGGAAAACAAGTCCCAAGACGTTTATAATTGGTTTGTGTGAAAATTATAGCATCTACAAACTATGGTCTACAGTTGCAAGAAAAAGTATGTGAACCCCTTGGGATTACGTGGAGTTTTGCATTAATTGGGCATAAAATGTGCTCTGAATGTCATCTAAGTCACAACAATAGAAGAACACAGTCGCTGAATAATAATACTACACAAACATTAGATGTTGCCATGGTTTAATTGCACATAACATGTAAACATTCACAGTGCAGGGAGGAAAAAGTATGTGAGGCCCTAGCTTAAATGACTTCTCCCAGAGCTAATTGGAGCCAGGAGTGAGCCAACCTTGACTCCAATCAGTGTGATGATATTGGATGTGTTGCTGACAGCTGTCCTGTCCTTAAAAAACACACACCTGTTTTGGGTTTACTGGTTTCAAGAAGCACTGTCTGATGTGAACCATGCCTCGCAGAAAAGAGCTCTCAGAAGACCTACGATCAAGAATTGTTGACTTGCATGCAGCTGGAAAGGGTTACAAAAGTATCTCCAAAAGCCTTGATGTTCATGTGTCCACGGTAAGACAGACTGTCTACAAATGGAGAAAGTTTAGCACTGTTGCTACTTTCCCTAGGCGTGGTCGTCCTGTAAAAATGACTGCAAGAGCATAGCGCAGAATGCTGCATGAGGTAAAGAAGAATCCCAGAGTGTCAGCTAAAGACCTACAGAAATCTCTGGCACATGCTAACATTTTTGTTGACACATCTACAATAAGGAAAACATTAAACAAGAATGGAGTACATGGGAGGACACCACGGAGGAAGCCATTGCTGTCCAAAAAGAATATTGCAGCACGTTTGAAGTTTGCAAAAGAGCACCTGGATGTTCCACAGCACTACTGGCAAAATATACTGTGGACAGATGAAACCAAGATTGAGTTGTTTGGGAAGAACACACAACACTATGTGTGGAGAAAAACGGCACAGCACACCAACATCAAAACCTCATCCCCACTGTAAAACATGGCGGAGGGAGCATCATGGTTTGGGGCTGCTTTGCTGCCTCAGGGCCTGGACGGATTGTTGTCATTGATGGGAAAATTAATTCCAGAGTTTATCAAGACATTTTGCAGGAAAACGTATGACCATCTGTCCGCCAACTGAAGCTCCGCAGAGGATGGATGATGCAACAGGACAATGACCCAAAGCATACAAGTAATTCAACAAAACAATGGCTGCAACAGCACAGAATACGCCTTCTGGAGTGGCCCAGTCAGAGTCCTGACCTCAACCCGATTGAAATGCTGTGGCATGACCTTAAGAGAGCGATTCACACCAGACATCCCAAAAATATTGCTACACTGAAACAGTTTTGTGAAGAGGAGTGGTCCAAAATGACTCCAGATCGTTGTGCAGGTCTGATCTGCAACTACAGGAAACGTTTGGTTGAGGTTATTGCTGCCAAAGGAGGGTCAACCAGTTATTAAGCCCAAAGGTTCACATACTTTTTCCTCCCTGCACTGTGAATGTTTACATGTTATGTGCAATTAAACCATGGCAACATCTAATGTTTGTGTAGTATTATGTTTAGCAGACTGTGTTCTTCTATTGTTGTGACTTAGATGGGCACATTTTATGCCCAATTCATGCAAAACTCCAAGGGGTTCACATACTTTTTCTTGCAACTGTATATACTAGAAATTACACAGCTATGATGCTATACTGGTAATGGTGATCAGCAACTTATAGTGGGGCTATGATAGTGTGGCGGGAGATACACTGACTGACACTGATATCAATAGTGACACTAATACAGCGATCAGTGCTAATACTGTACACTGTCACTGCACTAATGACACTGGCTGGGAAGGGCTTAACATCTAGGGACAATCAAGCAGTTCATTATGTTCCTAACAATGTGTAATGTGTGCTGCTTTTACTTTACTGTATGGCAGTTTGCTGTTCCCTGTAAACAGAGTTCTGTGTTTTTCAAACACAGAACTCTGTGTGTGATTGGACGCAGCCGATCAGCTGACTTCAGCCAAAATCATTGGCTTAATTCAGCTGCCAAAACTGTGTGCGGGCAAAAGCATTAACCAGCCAGCAGTATGGACAGTACCAGGTAGGAGCAATGGCATTGAGCATTATTGTTAGTGGCAAAGCTTTTTGAGTCAGCAAAGCTGAGCTGGACCAAGCCACATGTCAATGAGATCAAAGTATACGAATACATATTGCAGAGAATTCACAAAAATGTCTGCTATCACACCACAACCTAACTACGCCTCAAAGTAGATCATTTCCTTTACATCACTTCCCCTTTTAACCATGTGAAGAACAGGCCATTTCCCAACACTTTTTGTTTACATGTAAAAATCTGGGGGTTTTTTTGCAAGAAAAATTATATTATTTTAATATTTTTAAACGCCCTGCTGGAACCCCCACTTTATTTATTTTAACACAAATATAGTAAACAATGATCCATCCCTTAGCAGCTGGAGTCAATCTGTTCCCCTCAAAAAAAGGGGTGGCAAGTTCAATATAACTCGGACACCAAAGATCAGACGTCATATAGCCATCACAGGAAGAAGTTGATGGATATAGAAAGCCTGATCTTCGTTTACACAGAGGCAACATTGAACTTATCATTTTGAGAGCACAGGTCACTTCTATCATTATATATTATTCATTAGCAGAGGTCCTGGAGAATAAAATGGCAGGTGTTGCAGTTTTTTTTTCTTGTCACAAAAGGTATTTGCACAGTGGTTTTTCATACTTTTTTGAAAAAATAAAATTTTAATGCACAAAAGCACAATACCCAATTGTTTGATAAAATATAAAAGATGATGTTGCGATGAGTAAATAAATACCAAAAAACAACAACTCTTTACAATTGCGCACGCCCGTAGAACAGTGTCAAACTATGTAAATTATATTATCCATAGGCGACAAGAGGTCTGGTGCTAGAATTATCGCTCTTGATCTGACATTCTTGGTGATACCTCACATGTTAGGGTGATCGCTGTTTACAACACAAATGCATTCACCTTTGCGCGTTATTTTTTTTTTACACTGTACTTTTAAATGTTTTTAAATCACTTTTATTGATTGTTATCACTAGAAATGTAAACATCCCTTTTGTGTTAGCAATAGGCAGCGACAGGTCCTCTTTAAGGAGACATTTGGGGTCTATTAGAACCCAGATGTCTTCTTTGCCCTTAAAAGCTTTAGATCATACCAAGATCAGTATGATCGATGCTTTTTTACAAACCACGAAGGGTTTATTTACAAGCAGTGAAACCAAAATGTAACGAAATAGTCGTTGCTTCTGGTTTCTTAGACCACAGAGATGATTGCGGCTGTTCCAGTCCCCGATCAGGTCTCTGGTCAGCCGGTGACACCGAGGGCTGCACTTTCACATTCCCCGGTGGGACGGGATTGCCCAGCTTGTAAAAGCGATCCAGTGGCTATTTAGCCGCTAGGTTTGCTTTTACATGAAAACTGCGCCGGCTCTAAAAAAATGATACAGGGATGATGCCTGCAGCTGCAGGCATCATGCCAGTATAACCACTTGAAGTTGGGCAAGGTATGGGTATGCCACCTGACGCAAAGCGATTGAACACTTTCCAATAGCCTTTCATGGGCATTTATGAAGCATTCTTGAAGCTTTTTCAACGTTTCATAAACACAAGGAAAACACTTCATAAACACAAGCTATAGTAAAGGCGTGTTATATCATCATTGCTTTGTTCTACATAATCAACACATGTGTGAACGAGCCCTTAGACATTTCTTAGGCGTTTTTAGAAAGGACTAGTCAAATAACAAAAACACAATAAACAAAGTAAGCTTGGACAGTGCCCATTTATAGCAATAGATCAACTTATTAAACATGCCTCCTACCACCCACCCCCAACCCCCCCACTGCAAAAAGGTAGGTTCATATAGTCAAAAATAATATACTGTCAAAGCAAAGGAATACAACAGAAGTGGGCTTACGGACCCAACAAGAACTTTTGCCCTTGTTGTACACATCAGAAAATCCAATATAATCAGATTGTTTTATTACCTATGAAATGACTTGTCGGAGATGTGGCTTTTGTAATAACTCGATTCAAAACTTGCTCTAAAATCACATTTCTTATGGCTTCATGGACCTGATAGGAAAATGTGAAATATAAATGTTGCAACATTGGTAACGATGAAATGTGTGCGCGCGCAATGCCCCTTACACACGAGGCTGTCCATCTGAGGTGCATCCCGCCCAATGTTTTACTGCACAGGAGACCTGCGTTCTAGACATTTGTCCCTGAATGCGCAGAGGCCTAAACACCAGTACCACTCAGTACAGCATTCAGCCATGGCCTGCCATAAACTTTTCCAGGATGCTCAGGGAAGTGTTCTGCACCGATCCCTCCTTTGCTCAGTAAAATGCTGGGAGGAATCTACAGCAGCCGAATGACCCCATGGGACCCTAATACTTAAATGTCTGAAAGAATTGTGTACACAGACCAGGTTACCTTAAAGGCCTCCAGTAATATTTTTGATCCCAGCTGACAGGCCTGTTGACTTGGTGATCCTGCTGAAGTTTCCAGGATTTTTGCTCCTGGAATAGCTTTAGGACCGTATGAATCCATTAGGAGAAACCCAAGCTCCACCAATCCTTGGGTGACATGGTCCCAACCGAAAACGCTGAGGAGGTAGAAGGTAACATAATGAGGTAATGCAAACTCATCTGTGATCATATGTAGAGAGAAAAGTACCTGCCATTGACACTACCTGTTTTTTACAATTTCCAGGAGCATAGAGGAGACACATGTTGGTTGTGGCACTAAATCCTGGAGAAACTTTGAACCTTGCTGAAACTGGATGTCTTTAAATCCTTTTAAAATAATAGCTTTCAGGAAATCAAAAACCTGTATAAAATGAAACAAAAACATATCAACCAAAAATAAAAACATGTAAGCAATCACTGATACAAAGCTGTAAGGAGCTCCTATCACAGAAAGGAGTATATTTCTTAACAAAAAATTAAAAGTTGCATTGTTATTTGTCCAGCAAAACTGCAAATATATTTACTCTGTGCGATCTAACCAGCTGTAGTGAGAATGAAGCAAAATCAAATGTGATTAGGCCATTTTCTCTTCTGGTTGAGTGTTCTTAAATTATAGGTAGTAGTAAAGGTAGAGTCATTTATAAAGAACAGGAAATCAGGAAAATACTGCATTATGGTCACTAGATGGCGCTGAGGATCATAGGAAAAAAACAAACAAATAAAACCTTCTAGTAAGAAGAGATACAATGTAAAACTTAGAGAATGCTGGAGGAAATTACCAAATAAATGTAAGCATTGCTACTACGGGATCCGTGCGTTTGCCAATCCCCCCCAGAATTTTCTAGATTTACTGCATTTGCAGACAAGGGACTTACTGTATGGTACATCGCTGGATTTTGAGTGGTCATACTGGGATGATGCCTGCATTATTTTTTTTTAGCCAGCGGTTGGCTTTCTTGTAAGAGCAATCCTAGGGGCTAATTAGCTACTGGATTGCTTTTACAAGTGTTGGAAAGGGATGCTCCCCCCCCCCCCCCCCCCATGGCTCTCCCGTTACACCGGGAGACCTGTGTCTGCAGTCAACAGCTCCACCAGCGGACCACAGAGCCAACTGGGGACCTGAATGGCCCTGATCGTCTTTATGGTCTAGGAAACCGGAAGCAATGAGTATTTTGTCACTGGTTGTAAACAAACCCTTAGTGGTTTTAAAAAAGCATTGGATCATACTGGTCTTAATATAGTAATATAACCAAAAGCTTTTAAGGGCAGGAGGAGAGATCGGGGTTCTAATAGACCCCAGGATCCATCAGTAAAGAGGACATGTCACTGCCTATTGCTATCAAAAGGGGCCATTTATATTTTCTGTAATAACAATTAAAGTGATTAAGAAATAAATATATTAAAAAGGACAGTGCAAGAAAAAAACAAAAAAAAAACCCCTAAATAAAAAAGAAAAAAGCCCCCCCGCCCCCCCATCTGCTTGCACGCAAAGGTGAGCGCACGCATCAATCCCGCACACATATGCAAACAGTGATTGTAGCACATGTGAGGTATCAGCACAAACATCTGTTAGAAAGCAACAATTCTACCACCAGACTTCCTGTGTAAATATAAAGTAGTAACCTGTAAAAGGCTTTTAAAGCGTTGCTTATAGATAATAAAATGTGCGTCGTTTGTTGTCATTGCACAGGCATGCGTAATTTTAAAACGTGACATTTACTCAGTGTAACGTCATCCTTTACATATGACTAAACAATTGGACATCAGCTCCTTCTACTGCCCATAATATGGTTTATATATATGTGTGTGTGTGTGTGTGTGGGTATACATATATATACAAAGCTGCAATGTAGACACCGTCGTGAGGCTTGCACTCTCTAGAGTAAACCGGACTCTGTAGTAGAATAGAGGAGAGAGAGAGGTGCGCCAGACAAAGTGCAGTAAAATTCTAACAGTTTATTGCATACCCTGGCACTGCAGCCATCTGCTTGTGATGCGCAGCACAGATGACGTCCACCTCTTTATATTTGATGCCTGATACCTACCCACGTCTTGTGAGTTTTTAATATCTTGTGTGCAATAAACTGTTATAATTTTACTGCACTTAGTCTGGCGCACCTCTCTCTCTCCTCTATTCTGTGACAGCCAATCAAGCTGTATTGCATTGCACAGTTTAAAACAGGGAACTTACTGAAAGGAGGACAGAGCATAGTGATGACTTCATTAATATGATATTGCCCTATAAATGCTGAAAACTGATCAACGTAAAAAGTGCTAACCTACAAAAAACAAATCATTAGGGATATGTGGAATAAAAGAAATAATTTGTACCTGTTTTTCAAATCTATGTATTCTGGACACAGACAAGAGGAGAGCGACACTGAAAGGGCATAAAAATTTGTTTGTGTCCCCTTGCTGTGCAGCCTGTAAAAAAACAACACAAAAAGAAAAAAAAAAAAAAAAAAAAAAAAAAACACAGAAGATAGGGTAAGACAGCGTTTGTACCATGTATTTCAATAAAAGCACTGCATCCATTTAATGCAAACTACAGTCAAAAACAGATGCTGAAACCAAAAGCCTTTTTCACCAACAGTTCAGACTGTACCTTAAAACTAGGCTCACATATATGCGGCTGTGTGGGTTGCGCAGGCATGGCAGCCTATGAATATGAATGGGCTGCCGTGCCTTGTGAAATCCAGAGAAAAGGTCCCTGCACTATTTTTGAAATTGCAGCCCGTACAGGAACCACAAATACAGTGCAGTTCCCAGTGCGGGCAGCATGACTTCAGTATTACTGGCACCCACCCATATCTCCTGCGTTTCAATGTGCGAGTGGTTGCAGCTACAGGAACAGTGGCAAACACCCGCATAGGTGTGGACCTAGTCTAAATCTCAGAGTGTGCTTAGTTTCTGAACTTATTTTTTTATTATAATTTTTATTAATTTTAATTAACATACATTATACAACAATATTTTTCCATATCAAAAATGTTTACACTTTGGCGTTCTTGGATCCCTGCTCTTGGTTTGGTTATCTTTTTTCTTTCGTACTTCTCCACTTCTCCTTCCTCCCCCCCCCTTTTTTTTTTTCTGTTTGCTTTTGGTGTGGCAGTGGATAGCTGCCTTTAGACTGAGTTATTCTCAGTGTTATATTTATGTTTTGTTATTTAAGTGCCATTGATAGCCCCTGCGTGGGCGATCTTTTGCCCTGTTGGTGTTAGAGCACGGATTTCTTTAATTTTCTACTTCTTTTATGTGCAATTGATAGCCCCTGTGTGGGTGTGATTTGTTGCTCCTGTGTTAATTGTTATTAATTAATAAAAACCATTGAAATACAAAAAATGTTTACACTAAACAAAGAAAACACCCTACACACCACCCTGGACTTTGAATACAAACGTTGTAAACATGAAGTCAAACATGAAACCATGTACAGACTGTCAGGATACCAATATGGAAGCTGGCATTGCTGAATATTTTTGGAAGAAGCATGTTCCAGTGTTAAACATACTTATTCCTACTTCACTAGTTAAGCGTGCCCCTGACTCTGCACAAGTATGTAAACATCAGGAGTCCCCACTATAGATACGAACATACTCCAGGTTGCGGTCTTACAAAATATTAAAGTGGAACTAAAAACTTGCAAGTCTGTATGTCTCTAATGTCTTAAATTCTTTCCTTAGCCTGCTAGCAGTTTTTTTTTTTTACAAACTGTACACAGTCAGCGATTCCTGCGCAGCTCAGTATACAATCCTGCCATATGTAAAATGCTGAAAGTAAGTGCCAGGCTGAATTAACTCAACAAGGAGGTAGAAGAGCCAGTGATGCAGTGACAAAGGAGACTGTGGATGTTACTGCTCTGAAAAAGAGCAAGTGTGACTAAAGTTCAAACATCATATCCTTCCTTCACATTATTATTATTTATTTATTTCAGGCACTTATATAGCGCCGTCAATTTACGCAGCACTTTACATATATATTGTACATTCACATCAGTCCCTAACCCTCAAGGGGTGTACAATCTAAGGTCCCTAACTCACATTCATACATACACATACTAGGGACAATTTTAGACATGAGCCAATTCAACTACCAGTATGTCTTTGGAGTGTGGGAGGAAACCAGAGTACCCAGAGGAAACCCACGCAGACAAAGGGAGAACATGCAAACTCCAAGCAGGTGGTGCCTTTACATTATGGTAAAAGATCTTGCAAGGTCAAAAATATGACTTCTGTTCTAAAAAGGATAGGAATGGCAGCACCTTTAATAGAAGCTTCAATACATCTGTCCTGACAGGGCCCGTCTAAACACCAAGCAGAGCTTTAGTGGCCTCACATAAATTACTGATCGCGATTTCTGTGTATTTTTTCCTGCAAATGAAGGACAGCCAAATGCCCTCATCTTTGTACTGTACTCTTTTCTAAAATAAGTAACACATCTCAATACCTTGACTAGCTCTCTTCCCAGGTCCTGGTCAAATTTAATAGCAAAGACAATGTGCAAGATGATGGTACCCTCTACTTGACGCAGCTGTTCTTTTGGGATAGTGGAATCATCCAGATCTATTGAGCTGGAAAGAATTGCAAAAATAATTTATATTCAGAACTGCATGTAAATGGGAGGAAAACATACAGTGATTCTTTCACATCAAGCAAAATACGTATTATTTATGTATAAAATTATAATTATGACATCTAAATGGTGCCCTATAAAATGAAATGCCAAGGCCAAATTTATTATAAGTAAAAATGAAAGTATAATTGTACTCACTCATCATTTTTGGCCTCATGCATCAACTTCTGATCCAGATCATTAAAAACTGTGATAATGCCTTCCAGGATGGTCCTTTTACTCCCCTGCATAACCCAACAGAATAAAAAAAAAAAATCTAACAATAAAAGTGTTTAAAAAAATATATAATTTAAATGGAAGATCCCATAACATTCATACAGTGTTCACATTTTGATGAAGATTGTTATAATGACTGTCCCCCTTGTCACGTATCATAAAAGCTACAGTATGACATTACCTTGGCAGAAAGAAGTAGAAGCTGGTAAACCAAAGGGGGCATTTCTTGGAGGTCCAACTTAGAGAACAGCCTTAATACTTTTTCCACTACAAACTGTAACTCTTCCGTACTTAGTAATACATCTCTAAAAGAGAACACATTTAAGAAGCCACTTGAAAATATAAACAAGTTCCTGTTTCAGAATGGCAGTATATGCTGGAGGGGACAGCATAGGGTATGATGGGATCAATATGTGGCTGAACGAAAAAAAAAAAAAAGATTTCTTAGATTTGCTATCACAGGGGATATTTACACTCCCTGTGATAACAATAAAAGTGATTAAAAAAAAAAATTTATAAAAAAAAAAAAAAAAAAAAAAAAAGACAGTATTGAAAAAAAAAAAACAAGACAAAAAAAAAAAAACCACAGCGAAATAAATAATTAAAATAAAAAAAAAAATATATAAAAAAATTAAAAATCACTACCCATCCCCATGTGCAAAAAAAAAAAAACCGCAAGAGTTGGTCCAGTGTCGGTACGTAAACGTCAGATTAAGGACAGTAATTCTAGCACTAGACCTGTGTAAATCTAAAGTGGTGACCTGCAACGGCTTTTAAAGTGTTGCCTATGGATATAAAAAAAATTACATAATCTGTCGCCATTGCACAGGCATGCGCAATTTTAAAGCATGTCATATTTGGTATCTGTTTACTCGGCATAACATCTTTTATAGGTTATCAAACAATTGGGCAATATATTGTGTTTTTGTGCATTAAAATTTAAAAAATGTGTATTTTTTCCAAAAAAAATTGTGCAAACTGCGCAAATAACGTGTGACAAAAAAAAAAAAACCTGCTACACCCACCGTTTTATTCTCTAGGGCCTCCGCTTTTAAAATAAAATAAAATAATATATATAGAATATTGCCAATCCCTTCTAAAGACGTGCAGGTGCACGAAACGCGTAAGAAGGGGCCAATTACGCTGCGACATCACGCCGCCGGAGCATCGTGGAGCTCCGGAGGCAATCTTTAATTGTGGATGGTTAGTCCAGACACAGCTTGCTCTTAACATTGTTTGTTTTACTTCGTTTTGATGCATCTCTTTTTATTCAAGAACCCACCAATAAATTATGTTAAACTTTACTACACTATGGGCATTTTTCTGTTTTAAACTCCCACAAGGAGTATTGATTTTCAGACGCCCAGAGTAACCCAGCATTCCAGTATACAGAGAGGGAGCCTCCTATTCACCCTGTGAGCTGCACCAATCCATCCCTTAAGGGGAACTCTGGTTGTCCCTGGATCATCATTTTAAGTCCCAGGATCCATCCACCCTTAGAGGGAAGTTACTCCAACACCTGGCCTATTTAGATGATTCCTTGATGACATCTGGATATATATCTATATGCGCATTTACATTGCGCGTCCGGTGACTGCGCAATCCTTCCACAATTTATGCACAAGCGCCGACTTACCAAGGAAACCGGCACTTATATGAGCACTGAAAGTCACTTTTAACTATTAATGTTTTATGCCTTTTTTATGTCGTTTTATTCAGTATATGGACTTTTTATCTTCTTAATATAAACGGTTTCAGCTCTGCACTCTCCTTTTACAGTGGAAGACTAGTGTATGTGTGTGTGCTGGAGGTGGGATCTCACTGAGGAAGGACCAGGAAGAAACAGATTTGCACAAGGTGCAAAGCAGCAAAGTGAAAGTAGTACTTAGAATTCATTTAGTATATATAAGTGTGTGCAAAAAATGTTATGATGACACTCGGTGCCATAAATCCACAGATGATGAGAAAAATAGGCATGTCTTGCTTGGGGATGTTAAAATGATAATTTGCAAAGATCTCTTTCCAACATACGCTTCATTTCAAAAGATTGACATACCGGGCAATTAAAAGGCTATGAACTCTGACTGCTTAAGTAATCTTACCTAAACATTGAAGTAAGAAAAATGACACACTTTGGGTCCCATCTGAAAAAGTAAAGCAAAGATATGCTAATAAAATACACACATCTACATAATTTTAAATATAAACTGGGACCAATTAAAAAAAAAATGTGCATTAAGAAACAGCGTGATTGCTCCATAGCAGTGTTGTTTTCAATACTGGCCATCTGATTGGCCAACTCAGGCAGCACAAATACATCAAGGCTTTTGAAGATACTTTTGTAACCCTTTCCAGCTTCATGCAAGTCAACAATTCTTGATCGTAGGTCTTCTGAGAGCTCTTTTCTGCGAGGCATGGTTCACATCAGACAGTGCTTCTTGAAACCAGTAAACCCAAAACAGGTGTGTGTTTTTTAAGGGACAGGACAGCTGTCAGCAACACATCCAATATCATCACACTGATTGGAGTCAAGGTTGGCTCACTCCTGCCTCCAATTAGCTCTGGGAGAAGTCATTAAGCTAGGCCCTCACATACTTTTTCCTCCCCTGCACTGTGAATGTTTACATGTTATGTGCAAATAAACCATGGCAACATCTAATGTTTGTGTAGCATTATGTTCAGCAGACTGTGTTCTTCTATTGTTGTGACTTAGATGACTTTCAGAGCACATTTTATGCCCAATTCATGCAAAACTCCACGTAATCCCAAGGGGTTCACATACTTTTTTCTTGCAACTGTATATATCATCACCAACACCATCATTAACGTTTAAATTATTTTAAATTTAAGTAGCAGTAAAGTCATACATTAGAAAAAACAAAGGCAAGCAGGGTTTGTATAACAGAAGAGACAATAGAGGTCTCTTCTATCATAAATGTCCACCCTGCCCGACAGCGGGTAATGTGATCCGCCGGTAATGTGAGCCGCACATACGAAGTTCAGATCACATTTACAGCCCACCCTTTGTGATGTGGCAATGTGACTCCGGTAGTGACATCACCCCAGCCGAAAGTACAATACCCGGAAGGAAGATCGGGTGAACAAGTGCCCGGGAGCCAGCCAGAGTGATGCGCTGGAAGGCTCAAATTTGTGGGTAAGTCTGTCAATGTGCTAGCATGCAGAGCATAGAAGTACATTAAAACCTGCAGGGGGGCATTTCTTTGGTTTACTTGCTAAGTTTACTACCACTTTAACTGCTCTGTGTACTCCAGACATATACGGGGTTGAATCACTAAACCTGGAGAGTGCAAAATCTGGTGTAGTTCTACATAGAAACCAAGCTGAAGTTAGAAGCCAATTGGCTACCATGCACAGCTGCACCAGATTTTGCACTCTACAATTTTAATAAATCAACCCCATAGTAGGTCTATGTAATACATACAGGATACATATCTAAATTATTTGAAAAGGCAGCCACAGAATTTACAATGGGGCTCAATGCAAAAAGGAATAAAGAAAAATGGAGGTCTAATCCAACACAAATGGGCACCTAATCTAAGAAGTCTTAAGGTGATCATAGACGGATGGAAAAATTGTCTGGTTCAACAGAGACCAGATGAATTTTAATCCATGTGTGACCACTGCAGTTAATCAGTGTAAATGTGTGAGTTAGCGAGCGCACCTTATAAAGCTGCTGGTGCACAAAAAGGAACCACAGAGCCTTTCTAAGAATATAACATAAAAATGGGGTGTGCAGCGCTATACAAATAAAACACACTGTCATAAATATGACAAAAAGTGAAAAAAGTCCTATAAACTGAATGACAAACAGTCCGAGGTGATATGGTATCAGTCCAAATAGGTATATTCCAGTGATGGAGTATATATGACTTCAATCCAAATGGGTATATTCCAACATCCCAACATGAAGGTGTAGAAAAATTGCCCACTCACCGGAAGTGCAATTTAATGTGCACATAGAAATTCCGTGAAGCCGAAGGTCCCGTGAAGGTGCGGCCTGATGGTAAAGGTGTCCTCTGGTGGTTAATGGGGTGACTGCTGCCAGAGATGATGGTCCAGACCTATATCCCAAATCCTCCAACCTGGGTGGACTCCTAAAATGCTGGGCTGAGATGTGGAGGCTCAGTGCCAGGTAATAGAGATGAAAACGCTCATGGTGTAGTATTGTGAAATGTATTTATTAGGGTATATATCATTATGGTAAACAGTAAACGTACAGGGTGATAATAACCTATACAAGTATAGTATGAATGAGCTCTTGAATGCACTGACCAGTGGATAAAAATGATGGCCACCGGACCTCCTGATCCGGTGGCGTGACGTCAAGGCGTGCAGAGGCTCCTCCTAGACGAGCTTCGTGTATCACCCCTACAGGAGACGTGTTATTACACGAAGCGCGTCTAGGAGGAGCCTCTGCACGCCTTGACGTCACGCCACCGGATCAGGAGGTCCGGTGGCCATCATTTTTATCCACTGGTCAGTGCATTCAAGAGCTCATTCATACTATACTTGTATAGGTTATTATCACCCTGTACGTTTACTGTTTACCATAATGATATATACCCTAATAAATACATTTCACAATACTACACCATGAGCGTTTTCATCTCTATTACCTGGCACTGAGCCTCCACATCTCAGCCCAGCATTTTAGGAGTCCACCCAGGTTGGAGGATTTGGGATATAGGTCCGGACCATCATCTCTGGCAGCAGTCACCCCATTAACCACCAGAGGACACCTTTACCATCAGGCCGCACCTTCACGGGACCTTCGGCTTCATGGAATTTCTATGTGCACATTAAATTGCACTTCCGGTGAGTGGGCAATTTTTCTACACCTTCATGTTGGGATGTTGGAATATACCCATTTGGATTGAAGTCATATATACTCCATCACTGGAATATACCTATTTGGACTGATACCATATCACCTCGGACTGTTTGTCATTCAGTTTATAGGACTTTTTTCACTTTTTGTCATATTTATGACAGTGTGTTTTATTTGTATAGCGCTGCACACCCCATTTTTATTTTATACTGCAGTTAATCAGAAGTCAAATCTATCAATCAAATTCTGGTCATCCACCCAGACAGAGTCGCTTAACCAACAGCTACAGCCAATGGCTGTTGTGCTGTTCTGTGTATTCTGATAGTGGGGAGGTGCCACAATGCGCATCCAATATCTGGTTGGGAAAGCCGGTTCAGTTTATTCATTCAGCCCTCTGGCTGAACAAAAAAAGCTGAATCATGGCCAGCCAGCTTTAATAACATGCAAACAAGAACAAAACCTTACCTGCTGGAGCAGAGACTATTGATAATCTGTTTCTTGCACTCCTCTCCCGTTAGTTCTCCTTATAAAAAATTTTAAAAAAAGTGTCATAAAAGTGAGCCAGGATTAAAAATAAATAAATCAATCACCAATTTTTGAATATTCTACATAACACTGGATATGTGTTTGAATTATAAAAAGCCATCTCTTCCCCACAATGCAGAAGAACACCCTTTCTCCATATGCTTCTCCTATGCTTGGTTTAGTGAAATTTTAAGGAGGGGGCCCTTCTACTATCAGACAGACAGGGTTATTTGTTTTTTCCCCTTGTCTCCCTTGTTTCACCAAGGGAGTAAAAAAATAAGGGAGTAAAAAAATACAATAATTGGCTACAGTTTCATGATCATAATTGATATTTTACCAGTATGCACACCTAATTAACAGTATTAAAAGTGCATGCCTGCTGAGCTTCCTTAGAAAAAGCAAAGATTACAAGTGTCAGATAATTCCAGGAAATAAATGAAAATATAATTTAGTTACTTAAAGTTGATCTTCATTGAAAAGAGAATGTAATGCTCATCCTCCACCGCACTACTAACACATTTGAGCTATTTATTTATTTTTTTTACAGAGAGTGGGTCATTTTTGACAGGTACCGACTCCCACTTGACGTCTGCTTGGGCCCACACAGCTTCCCCCTGCGACACATTGCATGACCCAGGTGGCTGCATGATCAGTCTTACTACACCGTGAAATTTCACATGTGCAGAAGGGAGCTGGCTAGGATTCATCACAAAATCACAGCCAACTCCCAAATCCAAGATGGCAAGATGTTCAAGTCCCAGAGCAGCTCATCTGCTCTGCATGTAGTTCCCACTACCAAAGGAGGACACAGCCGTCCACTGCTTACTGCTGCATAGCCGGCGGAACCTCAGGGAGTGGGTGTGGATACATGTGATGTCACGTATGTTGTGACGTCGATGCGTTTCGCTGATTAGCATATCAGCTTCATCAGGGATGTCACAATCACACGGTGGACCCTACCAGTGTACAAATTACCCCCATCGCCGACTAAACCTGTAGACATAATCAAGAGCATATTTCATCTGTTGCTGAAATGTATCCGTCCACTCCAGCCTGCTCCCCAGTTTCAAGCATTTCACCATCTACATTTTCTATCGAATTGCTGATTAAAAGCTCTGTGTTTTGTACTTTCTTGAGAAGATAAATGGACAAGCAATTATATAAATACTTTACATGTGGCTTACTGTTGGATTTCTTGTCCTTTCTCCCCTGACATAGCTCATTGCATTATTATACTTTTAATGGGCAGCACAGTGGATAAATGGTTAGCACTTCTGCCTGGCAGTACTAGGGTTGTTAGTTCAAATCCCAATCATGACACCACCTGCCTGGAGTTTGCATGTTCTCCCTGTGCCTGTGTGGGTTTCTTCCGGGTACTCCGATTTCCTCCCACACTCCAAAGACATGCTGGTAGGTGAATTGGCTCCTGTCTAAATTGTCCCTAGTATGTGTATGTATGTGTATGTATGAATGTGAGTTAGGGACCTTAGATTGTACACCCCTTGAGGGTTAGGGACTGATGTGAATGTACAATATATATGTAAAGCACTGCGTAAATTGATGGCGCTATATAAGTACCTATAATAATAATAAGGGAGTGTAGCTCCATGTTATAGAGTGGCATGGTTTAGCCAACTGCTGGTGTTTTCTCCTCCGAAAAGGTATTACTATAATGGGCACCTGGTGTATGTATGGTAGTGGGAGAGGGATGATGTCATTGTGATGCTCCCCCCAACTCAAATACATCATTGGCAAAATTGTGAGGTCCAGGTTAGTGTTATGTGGTCAAGACAACATTGTAATATTTGGTGGTGTTTAGGGTGTTTTTGATACATTTTGAATACTTTTTCTTTGTTGTAATGTCTTATTAGACACAGTTTAATAAATGTATATTTTTTTACTGTCTGGTAGATGTGATTCTTTACATCTATCCATCCCCCTTTTTTTGTAGTGTTTAGTATTTGGTTACATGAGACTGCACACTAAGGCCTCATGCACACTGGGAATTTTAAAAACGCCGGTAGTGTTAGCTGTATAAAGTAAGGTTAAAAAAAGTTTTGTGGCGGCTTTTAGCGTTTTTGCATTAGTGCTTAGCCACGTTAGTGGGGGTTTTTTTTAGCACACAAAACCACTTTTGGCACAAAAATGCCATTTTACGCCATTTTACCAGCATTAAAGTGTTTTACAACTAAAAAACTCCTCTTGAAACCAACTAGTTCTGGGGGGGGGTTTCCAGACAGAAAACGCCCTTGACAAAAAAAATGGATTAAAGCCTATGTGTGCATGGACACATAGGATAACATGCTGGGGAGTTTACTGGCTGTGGAAAAAAAAAATGCCAGAAGCCAAAAACTGCAGCTGTAAAAATGCCCAGTGTGCACAAGACCTTAGTGTGAGTTTGGGAGACAGAGGATTTATTACTCCTATCTTTTCTCATTGATCTGCCTATCAGATAGATAGCACACAAAACACAGGGCCTTGAGAGTATATATGGTGTCCTAATGAACAGCCCAGACGATGGTGTTTACATCTTTATAAAATGACTTGGCTTTGAGTGCCAACTGCAAGGCTAATTCCAATGCCACTCATGATGCTCAACTCAATGCCCAAGCAATAAACACTTATGGTGGTGTTGAATTAATGTGTCCGGATGCCAATCTCATTTCAAATCCACTGAGCACTTTGTGTCAATAAAGGGTTAAAAAAAACAACACAAAGTCCTTGTTGAGTAAATGATATCCACATAACAGCAGCAACCATAAATCGTGCTTTCACTGGTTTCTTTGGTGTGCAGTGGATGCAAAGCATATCCGAAACACAGTGGGACTCTTGTCAGGCGCACTCACAATCAACCTGACCAGCAGGTATAATGTGGCAAGATCTGTGCTCCCTGGAAGGCAAGAGTAAAGGAAGCTGCAGCATTCAAGCTGGTGGGGATGCTAGAGCTGCTCTGTCAGGCTAGAAGTGCATCAATGCTAACAGGAAGTCCTTAGGTGGCCATATTGCTGGAGTCCATAGTGCCAGTGAGCATACATTGCAAGGTCTCCAAGATGACATGTTTCAAGGTCCTACCTTTGTCATCTTGGAGACCTTGTATGCTCACTGACACTATGGACTCCGGCAATATGGCCACCTGAGGACTTCCTGTTAGCATGGATGCATTTCTAGTCCGACAGAGCAGCTCTAGCATCCCCACCTGCTTGAATGCTGCAGCTTCCTCCACTCTTGCCTTCCAGGGAGCACAGATCTTGCCACATTATACCTGCTGGTCAGGCTGTTTGTGAGAGTGCGCCTCAGACAAGATTTCCACCGTGGTTTGGATAGGTTTAGTGTTTATTGCTTGGGCTTGTAGTTGAGCATCATGTGTGGCATTGGAATTAGCCCGCAATTGGCACTTAAAGCCAAATAATCTATAAAGATATCAACACCATCACCTGGGCTGTTCATTAGGACATCAAATATACTCTCAAGGTCCTTGCGCTGTGTTGTGTATGTTATCTTTTGACTCCTAGCCTCAAGTGGATTTCTGCAGCAGCAGGACTATCTCAGTCACCAATAGGGTTTAGCACCTTGGGATATTGTTTGTGTTTTTTTTTTGTCTATCTATCAGATAGGCAGCTCAAAGCCCAAATAAAGGAGCTCACCAGCTGATATCTGCTAGTCTTTGATTCAATTAGATACTTGTCACAACTATTCTCACTAGCCAGCATACTGGGCCCTGTAAGAGCAGCTTTTGATCAATAGGGTTCAAATCTGGCTACACAATGTTATAATCTATCAACAACTGAAGTACAATGGCCTGCCTAATAGGATACACGGATGAATAGGATGTTTCTGTTGAACATGTGCCCATGTGTACAGCAGCGTGCCTGTCTTCTGTCAAACAGGCATGCTGGAAAAACATCAGCTGATTGGCATCTGATCAGCACTCACAGCCAATGACTGAAAGCCCTGATCGGTGTGTTCTGGAAGGGGCATTCCCCCTGTCAAAACACAATAGTTCAGCAGGGAGATCACTGTCCTAACATCGCATAGTTAGTACAGCAAGCTCTTATTTAACTGCCTGTGTGCACCAGGCTTTAATGAAGGCCCTTACATTGCATTGTTTTGGCAAAAGTAAATTTAATATGTATTGCTAGCAAAAGGCTCAGTGCTCTCAAATGGTTAAATAGAAAAAATTTTTATTTTACCATTGCCATACACTAAAGATTCTTTTGATGAAAGAGCTTTAAGCACATTAGGAAACAGTTCCAAAGACTTCCCATTGGACATGCTTCCAGCTTTCACTGCTTCAACATACAAGTTTGCCAAGTCAAGAAGGGACGCTCCTGGTAAGTGATGAACCTGAAACAGAAAAACAAGCTATATAAAACAAAAAGTATACATTCATTATAGCAGGATAACTTATTTATACCGGATTAGGGAGAGTATTCCATATTCAAATGATTCTTTTAATTGTAAGTACATTTGGCAACTCCTAATATTTGCAATGATTTTGTATTCTGTCCATTCATTCTGCAGCAGAGGGGATGTAACACAGAATGGTGTTGCATGAAAGAACAACACAAAAATAAAGTGATATTATTCCCTAGGTATATTTAGAGTCAAGCTCTGCTTCTTCCTGTCCAGCAAACATACAAAAAAAAAAACAAAATCACCTGCTGACATAAAAACAGAAAATCACAGGACACAAGACAAGATTGAATCATGAAGATATCACAACATAGAATTGCAAATAGCAATGGTGTGTGGTAACAGCTACCATTCAGAAATAAGTTCTCATTTAGCCTTCCCATTACAAGCAGTTGAAAGCGGATTTAGGATTGGCTGCAGAGCTGTGAAGCGGCTAACACACTTTTTGGTATCGAAGATAAAAGATTATTATTATGATTATTATTATACAGGATTTATATAGCGCCAACAGTTTGCGCAGCGCTTTACAATATAAGGGAGGCATTACTATTACCAGGGTGGATAAAAATCAATGATTTTTTTTAAAAAATCAAAAAAAAAAAAAAAATTGGATTTTTTTTAAATAAAATGCTTTTTGAGGAAAATATATTACCATCTAAAGGTTATTCCATCATGAAATAAAGATTAGTTTTTTAATTATGTAGAATAAGGCTGTATATGTTTAATTTTTTTGGTAAATAAATTCCATTAATCCATTCACAATGTCATGCTCTTCCAGATGCTTGGTTTACTTTTGCAGTTCTCAAAACTGAATTTGACTCAGCGGAGATCACATGCCTCTTCTTCACAGCAAAAATGTTATAACATGAACAGAGTTAAGAAAAAGACCTTCATCCTAACTTCTACAAACCTATGAATACAGAATCAACCCCTTCAGTGCTAAGTTTCAAGAAGTTCAGTGAATAGAATAGAAACAATATTTTTCTGATTGTTTGGAGTGGAATAGATCTGTACAAGAAGAAAGTGAAACTAAGTGTGAGGGGGAAGGGGCTGACAGTCTAAGTTTCTTACAATATATATATTTTGTTTAGCCAAATTAGTTAACAAACATGGATGTTTAAGCAAATAACATATGCTGGAATGTTATTGTTTCAGATGAATAAATCTATTTAAATTGTTATTATTAAGGTAATGATTATTTTTCTCCTTCCTAAATACAACAGAAAAGTTGTCCAAATATATTAAACTGGGGATAAAAAAACTAATATGAAAAGTTGTTATTCTAAAAATCTTCATCTACTTGTATATTAAAGTTATACCAGCAAGAATTAGTCTTTATGTAGAAAACTAGGATTTAAATCAAGCCTTACTGACTAGTGATTTAAATCGCGATTTAAATCAGTTTGATTTAAATCAAATCCACCCATACTATTACAATACATTTCAGTACAGAAGGAATAGGAGGGCCCGGCTCGTGGAGCTTACAATCTAAAGGAAGGGGGAGGTGATACAAAAGGTGATAGCTGCGGGGGATGATCTGGTGGAGGTGATTCAAGCACAGTTCTTAGGTGGAGTTGGGGTAGGCTTCCCTGAAGAAGCGAGTTTTATTAAATATATTTTTTTATAATTTATATTTTTTATAATTAAATATTTTTATAATATCGTCTTCTCTACCAGTTAGGTATTATGTGTAATTACTTTGCTTTATAATGTTAAGGATTTTTTCTGGTTTTAAAACAACCAATTGCCTCTAACAGTAACCATTCTGCCAGCCATGAAAGCTCCCTGCTGGCAGAACACAATAGCACCGCAGGAGGGATTGCCCCACAGACACTGACTTTGTTGATGAGGGAATCAAGCAATTTGCTTTCCTGCAACCTGTGGTTGCAGGAAAGAGAATCGAATTATCTATGGCTTGCCTAACAGTCATCTATCGGGTAGAGATCGAAATGTGACTGCTAGTGTCTGGTGCAGGCGTGCACAGAGCGATCCAGCACTCGGCATCCCGCTGCATTCACACACATGGAAAACGCAGCAGCACCCCTGGAGACTTCTTCCAGAACCCAGGTTGAGAAACCCTGAATTACATAGTTGTTCATAGATTTAAAGGATATTGTACAATCAGATTGTATAGTGTATGGCCAGCTTAAGCTATAGAAGCAATAGATTGCTTGGTATGAGGCTTGTAGAACTGTTTTACAAAACAACCAGCAGGAAGTGAGAAGAGGTAAACCAAAAAAAAAATATATATATTTATACACATACAGTGAAGGAAATAAGTATTTGATCCCCTGCTGATTTGGAATGTTTGCCCACTCATAAAGAAATAATCAGTCTAAAAATCGGATGGTAGGTGTATTGTAACACTAAGAGGCAGAGTAGCAACAAAAAATTCAAAAGAAATGCATGTCTACTCTTGGCAGATCCTCTCCAGGTCATTAAGGTTTGGTGGCTGACGTTTGGCAACTCGAACTTTCAGCTCCAGATTTTCAATCAGATTAAGGTCTGGAGACTGGCTAGGCCACTCCAGGACCTTAATGTGCTTCTTCTTGAGCCACTCCTTTGTTGCCTTGGCCGTGTGTTTTGGGTCATTGTCATGCTGGAACACCCATCCACGACCCATTTTCAATGCCCTGGCTGAGGGAAGAAGGTTCTCATCCAAGATTTGACGGCACATTGCCCCGTCCATTGTCCCTTTGATGCAGTGCAGTTGTCCTGTCCCCTTAGCAGAAAAAACACCCCCAAATGTTTCCACCACATTTGACAGTTGGGATGGTGTTCTTGGGGTCATAGGCAGCATTCCTCCTACTCCAAACACGGCGAGTTGAGTTGATGCCAAAGAGATCGATTTTGGTCTCATCTGACCACAACACTTTCAGCCAGTCCTCCTCTGCATCATTCAGATGATCAGTGGCAGACTTCAGACGGGACTGGACATGTGCTTTTTTGAGCAGAGGGACCTTGCGGGCACTGCAGAATTTCAGTCCTTGTCGGCGTAGTGTGTTACCAATTGTTTTCTTGGTGACTGTGGTCCCAGCTGCCTGGAGATCATTGACAAGATCCTCACAAGTAGTTCTGGGATGATTCCTCACTGTTCTCATGATCATTGACACTCCACGAGGTGAGATCTTGCATGGTGCACCAGGCCTAGGGGGACTGACAGTTGTTTTGTGTTTCTTCCATTTGCGAATGATTGCACCAACTGTTGTCACCTCCTCACCAAGCTGCTTGGCGATAGTTTGGTAGCCCAGTCCAGCCTTGTGTAGGTCTACAATCTTGTCCCTGACATCCTTGGACAGCTCTTTGGTCTTTGCCATGGTGGAGAGTTTGGAATCTGATTGTTTGATTGCTCCTGTGGACAGGTGTCTTTTATACAGGTAACAAAATGAGACTGGCAGCACTCCTTTTAACAGACTGCTTCTAATCTCAGCTTGTTACCTGTATGAAAGACACCTGGTAGCCAGAAATCCTGCTGAATGATAGGGGATCAAATACTCTTTTCCCTCACACGCAAATCAGTGCATCATTTGTTAGACATGCATTTCTTTTGAATTTTTTGTTGCTATTCTGTCTCTCAGTGTTACAACCGAACATTCGATTTTTAGACTGATCACGTCTTTGTGAGTGGGCAAACATTCAAAATCAACAGGGGATCAAATACTTATTTCCTTCACTAATAAAATATACAAACATACATATATATACATACATATACACACATAAACTAAAACACCCTCCATTTGAAATTAAATACCATGAAGTGGATTAATCCTCATGCACACGGGACGTTTTTACAGCGGCTGTTTTTGGCTTTCCACGTATTTTTCTACAGCCAGTAACCCCCCCCCCCCCCCAGCATGTTACCTTAGGAGTTTATGTAAAAACACTCTAGCACTGAAAAACGCAACAAAATGCAGTAAAACACCGCAGACGGCGTTTTTGGACTTTTTATAAACGCTAAAAACCACAAACGCAGCAAAATGCTAATGCAAAAAACCCTAAAAAACTCAAGTTTTTAACGTGACTTCACACAGCTACCGTTACCAGCATTATCAAACCGCCCCGTGTGCATGGAGCCTTATTATGAGTATAGAGATAAATAAGCAAAAGATGTACCGTATTTTCCGGCGTATAAGACGACCCCCTACTTTTCCTGTTAAAATATAGGGTTTGGGCTATAGTCGCCGTATAAGACTACCCCTCTTCCAATGCACACCAAAAATTAAAAACCATCAGATTTGATTTCAATATGGTATGGTATTCCAATGATGGGGCACGATTCGTTGCTCTGACACCAATGATGGGGCACGCTTCCTCACTCTGACACCAATGATGGGGCACTATTCCTCCCACTGACACCAATGACGGGGCACTATTCCTCCCATTGACACCAATGATGGTGCCCCATCATTGGTGTCAGTGGCAGGAATAGTGCCCCATCATTGGTGTCCGTGGGAGGAATAGTGCCCCATCATTGGTGTCAGAGCAACAAATAGTGCCCCATCATTGGTGTCAGAGCAACAAATCGTGCCCCATCATTGGTGTCAGTGGCAGGAATAGCACCCCATCATTGGTGTCAGAGCAACAAATAGTGCCCCATCATTGGTGTCAGTGGCAGGAATAGCACCCCATCATTGGTGTCAGAGCAACAAATAGTGCCCCATCATTGGTGTCAGTGGCAGGAATAGCACCCCATCATTGGTGTCAGAGCAACAAATAGTGCCCCATCATTGGTGTCAGTGGCAGGAATAGCACCCCATCATTGGTGTCAGAGCAACAAATAGTGCCCCATCATTGGTGTCAGTGGCAGGAATAGCACCCCATCATTGGTGTCAGAGCAACAAATAGTGCCCCATCATTGGTGTCAGTGGCAGGAATAGCACCCCATCATTGGTGTCAGAGCAACAAATAGTGCCCCATCATTGGTGTCAGTGGCAGGAATAGCACCCCATCATTGGTGTCAGAGCAACAAATAGTGCCCCATCATTGGTGTCAGTGGCAGGAATAGCACCCCATCATTGGTGTCAGAGCAACAAATAGTGCCCCATCATTGGTGTCAGTGGCAGGAATAGCACCCCATCATTGGTGTCAGAGCAACAAATAGTGCCCCATCATTGGTGTCAGTGGCAGGAATAGCACCCCATCATTGGTGTCAGAGCAACAAATAGTGCCCCATCATTGGTGTCAGTGGCAGGAATAGCACCCCATCATTGGTGTCAGAGCAACAAATAGTGCCCCATCATTGGTGTCAGAGCAACAAATCGTGCCCCATCATTGGTGTCAGTGGCAGGAATAGCACCCCATCATTGGTGTCCGTGGGAGGAATAGCGCCCCATCATTGGTGTCAGTGGGAGGAATAGCGCCCCATCATTGGTGTCAGTGGGAGGAATCGTGCCCCATCATTGGTGTCAGTGGGAGGAATAGCACCCCGTCATTGGTATCAGTGGGAAGAATCGTGCCCCATCATTGGTGTCAGTGGGAAGAATAGCGCCCCATCATTGGTGTCAGTGGGAAGAATAGCACCCCATCATTGGTGTCAGTGGAAGGAATAGCACCCCATCATTGGTGTCAGTGGGAGGAATAACGCCCCATCATTGGTGTCAGTGGGAGGAATAGCGCCCCATCATTGGTGTCAGTGGAAGGAATAGCGCCCCATCATTGGTGTCAGTGGAAGGAATAGCGCCCCATCATTGGTGTCAGTGGGAGGAATAGTGCCCCATCATTGGTGTCAGTGGGGGGAGGAATAGTGCCCCATAGTTGGTGTCAGTGGGAGGAATAGTGCCCCATCATTGGTGTCAGTGGGAGGAATAATGCCCCATCATTAGTATCAGTGACACCAATGATGGGGCACTATTCCTCCCACTGACACCGATGACACTTGCTGACTCCTGTTCTAGTATGGTACTGCTGCAGCCAGCATATGTGGTTGCAGCAGCACCTCTGCACTGCACACTTACACTCACTCGATTTTCGCGGGTCCACTCGGCTCCGCCTCCTCGCCCGTGATTGGCCGCCTGTGTGCCTTTCCTGAGCTACAGTTCTGGCGGCCAATCACCGGTGAGGAGGCGGAGCCGAGCGGCAGGAGCGAGGGAGTGGCCGGAGTGACTGAAGGAGCAGCGCTTCCTGGATGGATCGTCGTGGGAGCCAGGTAAGAGACTGCAGCCCTCTGCCCACCCCTGTACCGTCGGTAGGGGGGGACGGCGGCAGCACCGCGCCGCCCCCCTAAAAAGTGCCCCCTGATGTGTACCGGCGTATAAGACGACCCCCGACTTTTGAGAAGATTTTCAAGGGTCAAAAAGTCGTCTTATACGCCGGAAAATACGGTAACTAACCAAAAAAAAATTACATGAAAAACACAAAAAAAAATGCAAAAGGACACAGAATTAGCCTTTTGATTATTGTAATTAGACAGCGATGTTAAATTTGAACAAATAGCTAGGTCTCAGATCTACATCAGGCTACATCTGTAATATCAGTAAAAAAAAAAGAAAATCCATTTTTTTTCACCTCTAACATTAGGAGCCCCACAATCTCGGAAGCCACTTCTCTCTGTAGATCTCCAGATTCAACAAGTTCTATGCAGTGCTTATAGACTGCTAATCTCCGGCGAACAGCAACATCCTCTGTACATGGAGACCCTGACAGGACATACAAAACAATTACTGCTTGCAGGAAATAATTAACTTAATAATGCTAGCTGCTGCATTCTACATCTGAACCCTACCTACAAGGGTGAACAAAAAATCTTCCATTGAGGTAACATTCATTCTGAATGGCACCTGAATACATACCGTATTTTTCTCTCCATAAGACGCACCTAGGTTTTTAAAGGCAGAAAACAGGAAAAAAAATATTCTAAACCAATGGACTGCAGACACGGTACAGGGGACAACCAGAGACTGCGGACACGGTACAGGGGATGACCAGAGACTGCGGACACGGTACAGGGGATGACCAGAGACTGCGGACACGGTACAGGGGATGACCAGAGACTGCGGACACGGTACAGGGGATGACCAGAGACTGCGGACACGGTACAGGGAATGACCAGAGACTGCGGACACGGTACAGGGGATGACCAGAGACTGCGGACACGGTACAGGGGATGACCAGAGACTGCGGACACGGTACTGGGGGGATGACCAGAGACTGCGGACACGGTACAGGGGATGACCAGAGACTGCGGACACGGTACAGGGGATGACCAGAGACTGCGGACACGGTACAGGGGATGACCAGAGACTGCGGACACGGTACAGGGGATGACCAGAGACTGCGGACACGGTACAGGGGATGACCAGAGACTGCGGACACGGTACAGGGGATGACCAGAGACTGCGGACACGGTACAGGGGATGACCAGAGACTGCGGACACGGTACAGGGGATGACCAGAGACTGCGGACACGGTACAGGGGATGACCAGAGACTGCGGACACGGTACAGGAGATGACCAGAGACTGCGGACACGGTACAGGGGATGACCAGAGACTGCGGACACAGTACAGGGGATGAGGGTGAACAAAAAATCTTCCATTGAGGTAACATTCATTCTGAATGGCACCTTAATACATACCGTATTTTTCGCTCCATAAGACGCACCTAGGTTTTAGAGGCAGAAAACAGGAAAAAAAAAATATTCTAAACCAATGGACTGCAGACACGGTACAGGAGATGACCAGAGACTGCGGACACAGTACAGGAGATGACCAGAGACTGCGGACACAGTACAGGAGATGACCAGAGACTGCGGACACAGTACAGGAGATGACCAGAGACTGCGGACACAGTACAGGAGATGACCAGAGACTGCGGACACAGTACAGGAGATGACCAGAGACTGCGGACACAGTACAGGAGATGACCAGAGACTGCGGACACAGTACAGGAGATGACCAGAGACTGCGGACACAGTACAGGAGATGACCAGAGACTGCGGACACAGTACAGGAGATGACCAGAGACTGCGGACACAGTACAGGAGATGACCAGAGACTGCGGACACAGTACAGGAGATGACCAGAGACTGCGGACACGGTACAGGAGATGACCAGAGACTGCGGGCACGGTACAGGAGATGACCAGAGACTGCGGGACACGGTACAGGGGATGACCAGAGACTGCGGACACAGTACAGGCGATGACCAGAGACTGCGGACACAGTACAGGGGATGACCAGAGACTGCGGACACAGTACAGGAGATGACCAGAGACTGCGGACACAGTACAGGAGATGACCAGAGACTGCGGACACAGTACAGGAGATGACCAGAGACTGCGGACACAGTACAGGAGATGACCAGAGACTGCGGACACAGTACAGGAGATGACCAGAGACTGCGGACACGGTACAGGAGATGACCAGAGACTGCGGGCACGGTACAGGAGATGACCAGAGACTGCGGACACGGTACAGGGGATGACCAGAGACTGCGGACACAGTACAGGCGATGACCAGAGACTGCGGACACAGTACAGGGGATGACCAGAGACTGCGGACACAGTACAGGAGATGACCAGAGACTGCGGACATAGTACAGGAGATGACCAGAGACTGCGGACACAGTACAGGAGATGACCAGAGACTGCTGCGGACAGTACAGGAGATGACCAGAGACTGCAGACATAGTACAAGAGATGACCAGAGACTGTGGACAGTACAGGAGATGACTGCTGACCTTTGGGGAGGGGGGGAGCGGGTACCTGAATTTGAGAGGTACCCGCTCTTACTTCTGCGGAGTTGTTCTTTGGTTAGTGTCCGCTCTGCAGTGAGACCTTACCTGTTCCTCTATCCAGCGCCGCGCTGTCTTCCCGGCTTCTGTAGTCTGGGTGCTTGGCTTGACAGCCGGGTGCCCAGTGCGCATGAGCGAGAAGCGCTGCGCTTTGTGATTGATTCGGCGGCTTCTGGGACCTGTCATGTGTCCCAGGTGCCGCCTTACCATTCACAAAGCGCACCGCTTCTTGCGCATGCATGTTTCGATTACACCTTGAAAATATACCCCATGTATGTCAATACAACATTGTGTGAACGAGCAGTGTTGGGTTTTGTTTTTTATTTTTTTAACTTATTATTATTATACAGTATTTATATAGCGCCAAAGGGTATGCTCAGCGCTGTACGTATGTACTTACCTTTGAAAATACTGCGCAGTAGTGCTCCAGACTCTTTCCCCTTAATTGCGTGCTTTGTTATAATGGATACAAGCTAAGAAAATAAATAGAATTAAAAATATAAATAAAATGTTCTCTAACCTTCAAGGATAAGTTCACGTTTCTAAAAAAAAAAAAAAATAATAATAATAAATGCACATTTTTCTGCAGGTAAGAAAATAAAACGTGCGTTTATGTTATTATTAGGCGTCTGTAAAGCATTGCACCTAAGATCAGCATATTGCGGGTGCAATGCAGGGTTCCTGCAGACTGTCAGTGTATCTGTCAGCACATACCTCATACGGGAAGGCAGTTACACAACAGGAAGACTCACTGGACTACGGCCTCTTTCACACAGGAATTCCTGTTTGCTTTTCATCTGTCTGTTACAGATGAAAAACGGACACCCATGTATTTCTAACACAGATGATCATCCATATACATCCACTAATGTCCGCATCCGTTAACATCTGTTTTTTGAATGAAAGAAAAACCCTATTTTTCTTCCATTAAAAAAATGGATTGGATGAAAAACGGACAAAAACGGATAAAAACTGACGAAAACTGATGGAGAAGTGACCAGTTTTTTCTTGGAAAAAAAGTGACTGAACTGATGAAAAAAAACCGTAACGCCCGTGTGAAAGGGGCCTACTAGAGCACTGAACAGCTCTCTACTAGTTCGTTGACTAACATCTGCAAAGTCTGTTGGTAGTTGTAGTTCTCCCATTCACAGAACTCTGAGATGAATGACACAGCCATGTGGGTGGAGCCCTGCACAGAAGCGCTGTTTTTAACCTCATTCCCTCCACAGGATCCCCCCTCCCCCTTCCTGACCAGACCATGTTTTGCGCTACAGCACTGAGTTAATTTAACTGACAATTGCGCGGTCATGCAACGCTGCACCCAAATGTAATTTACATCATTTTTTTCCCACGAATAGAGCTTTCTTTCAGTGGTATTTGATTGCATGTGCATTTTTTATTTTTTGCGCTATAAAAAAAAAAAAAGGACTGGCAATTTTGAGAAAAAAATATTTTTTACTATTTGCTAATAAACATGTCCAGTAAAAGAATTTTAAAAATCAAGTTTCGTCATAAATTTTAGACCAAAATGTATTCTGTGACATGTCTTTGCTAAAATAAATCCTAATATATGCAAATTAATTGGTTTACGTGACAGTTATAGCGTTTACAAATGGCGGTATAGATACTGAGATTCTGGAGTTTTGTTTTTTTATTACTAGTAATGGCAACTTTCTATTGTTTTTACAAATGTTTTCTTTTTTGGGGGGGGGGGGCGCAAGTAGCTGGTCTTGCGTAGGGTGCAAAGTAATCTAGCATCGGCCCTGCTTGTATGGGTGTACGCCTGCGTGAAGGAGGACTCCGCTCGCAGTCCTGTTTGTATGGGTGTACGCCTGCGTGAAGGAGGACTCCGCTCACAGTCCGGCTTGTATGAGTGTACACCAGTGTGAAGGAGGACTCCGCTCACAATCCCGCTTGTATGGGTGTACACCAGTGTGAAGGAGGACTCCGCTCACAGTCCGGCTTGTATGAGTGTACACCAGTGTGAAGGAGGACTCCGCTCACAATCCCGCTTGTATGGGTGTACACCAGTGTGAAGGAGGACTCCGCTCACAGTCCGGCTTGTATGAGTGTACACCAGTGTGAAGGAGGACTCCGCTCACAATCCCGCTTGTATGGGTGTACACCAGTGTGAAGGAGGACTCCGCTCAGTCCCGCTTGTATGGGTGTACACCAGTGTGAAGGAGGACTCCGCTCACAGTCCGGCTTGTATGGGTGTAAGCCTGTGTGAAGGAGGACTCCGCTCGCAGTCCCACTTGTATGGGTGTACGCCAATGTGAAGGAGGACTCCGCTCGCAGTCCCGCTTGTATGGGTGTACGCCTGTGTGAAGGAGGACTCCGCTCGCAGTCCCGCTTGTATGGGTGTACGCCTGTGTGAAGGAGGACTCCGCTCACAGTCCCGCTTGTATGGGTGTACGCCTGTGTGAAGGAGGACTCCGCTCACAGTCCCGCTGGCATGGGGGTGTACGCCAGTGTGAAGGAGGACTCCGCTCACAGTCCGGCTTGTATGGGTGTAAGCCAATGTGAAGGAGGACTCCGCTCGCAGTCCCGCTTGTATGGGTGTACGCCTGTGTGAAGGAGGACTCCGCTCACAGTCCCGCTTGTATGGGTGTACGCCTGTGTGAAGGAGGACTCCGCTCACAGTCCCGCTGGCATGGGTGTACGCCAGTGTGAAGGAGGACTCCGCTCACAGTCCCGCTGGCATGGGTGTACGCCAGTGTGAAGGAGGACTCCGCTCACAGTCCCGCTTGTATGGGTGTACGCCAGTGTGAAGGAGGACTCCGCTCACAATCCCGCTTGTATGGGTGTACACCAGTGCGAAGGAGGACTCCGCTCGCAGTCCTGTTTGTATGGGTGTACACCAGTGTGAAGGAGGACTCCGCTCACAGTCCGGCTTGTATGAGTGTACACCAGTGTGAAGGAGGACTCCGCTCACAATCCCGCTTGTATGGGTGTACACCAGTGTGAAGGAGGACTCCGCTCACAGTCCGGCTTGTATGAGTGTACACCAGTGTGAAGGAGGACTCCGCTCACAATCCCGCTTGTATGGGTGTACACCAGTGTGAAGGAGGACTCCGCTCAGTCCCGCTTGTATGGGTGTAAGCCTGTGTGAAGGAGGACTCCGCTCGCAGTCCCGCTTGTATGGGTGTACGCCAATGTGAAGGAGGACTCCGCTCGCAGTCCCGCTTGTATGGGTGTACGCCTGTGTGAAGGAGGACTCCGCTCGCAGTCCCGCTTGTATGGGTGTACGCCTGTGTGAAGGAGGACTCCGCTCACAGTCCCGCTTGTATGGGTGTACGCCTGTGTGAAGGAGGACTCCGCTCACAGTCCCGCTGGCATGGGTGTACGCCAGTGTGAAGGAGGACTCCGCTCACAGTCCGGCTTGTATGGGTGTAAGCCAGTGTGAAGGAGGACTCCGCTCGCAGTCCCGCTTGTATGGGTGTACGCCTGTGTGAAGGAGGACTCCGCTCGCAGTCCCGCTTGTATGGGTGTACGCCTGTGTGAAGGAGGACTCCGCTCGCAGTCCCGCTTGTATGGGTGTACGCCTGTGTGAAGGAGGACTCCGCTCACAGTCCCGCTGGCATGGGTGTACGCCAGTGTGAAGGAGGACTCCGCTCACAGTCCCGCTGGCATGGGGTGTACGCCAGTGTGAAGGAGGACTCCGCTCACAGTCCCGCTTGTATGGGTGTACGCCAGTGTGAAGGAGGACTCCGCTCACAATCCCGCTTGTATGGGTGTACACCAGTGCGAAGGAGGACTCCGCTCGCAGTCTGGCTTGTATGGGTGTACGCCAGTGTGAAGGAGGACTCCGCTCACAGTCCGGCTTGTATGAGTGTACACCAGTGTGAAGGAGGACTCCGCTCACAGTCCGGCTTGTATGAGTGTACACCAGTGTGAAGGAGGACTCCGCTCACAATCCCGCTTGTATGGGTGTACACCAGTGCGAAGGAGGACTCCGCTCGCAGTCCTGTTTGTATGGGTGTACACCAGTGTGAAGGAGGACTCCGCTCGCAGTCTGGCTTGTATGGGTGTACGCCAGTGTGAAGGAGGACTCCGCTCACAGTCCGGCTTGTATGAGTGTACACCAGTGTGAAGGAGGACTCCGCTCACAGTCCGGCTTGTATGGGTGTACACCAGTGTGAAGGAGGACTCCGCTCACAGTCCCGCTTGTATGGGTGTACACCAGTGTGATGGAGGACTCCGCTCACAATCCCGCTTGTATGGGTGTACACCAGTGTGAAGGAGGACTCCGCTCACAGTCCGACTTGTATGGGTGTACACCACTGTGATGGAGGACTCCGCTCACAATCCCGCTTGTATGGGTGTACACCAGTGTGATGGAGCACTCCGCTCACAGTCCGGCTTGTATGGGTGTACACCAGTGTGATGGAGGACTCCGCTCACAGTCCCGCTTGTATGGGTGTACGCCTGTGTGAAGGAGGACTCCGCTCACAGTCCCGCTTGTATGGGTGTACGCCTGCGTGGGAGGACTCCGCTCACAGTCCCGCTTGTATGGGTGTACGCCTATGTGAAGGAGGACTCCGCTCACAGTCCCGCTTGTATGGGTGTACGCCCGTGTGAAGGAGAACTCCGCTCACAGTCCCGCTTGTATGGGTGTACACCAGTGTGAAGGAGGACTCCGCTCACAGTCCGGCTTGTATGGGTGTACACCAGTGTGAAGGAGGACTCCGCTCACAGTCCCGCTTGTATGGGTGTACACCAGTGTGAAGGAGGACTCCGCTCACAGTCCCGCTTGTATGGGTGTACACCAGTGTGAAGGAGGACTCCGCTCACAGTCCGGCTTGTATGGGTGTACACCAGTGTGATGGAGGACTCCGCTCACAGTCCCGCTTGTATGGGTGTACGCCAGTGTGATGGAGGACTCCGCTCACAGTCCCGCTTGTATGGGTGTACGCCTGTGTGAAGGAGGACTCCGCTCACAGTCCCGCTTGTATGGGTGTACGCCTGCGTGGAGGACTCCGCTCACAGTCCCGCTTGTATGGGTGTACGCCTGTGTGAAGGAGGACTCCGCTCACAGTCCCGCTTGTATGGGTGTACGCCCGTGTGAAGGAGGACTCCGCTCACAGTCCCGCTTGTATGGGTGTACGCCCATGTGAAGGAGGACTCCGCTTACAGTCCCGCTTGTATGGGTGTACGCCCGTGTGAAGGAGGACTCCGCTCACAGTCCCGCTTGTATGGGTGTACGCCCGTGTGAAGGAGGACTCCGCTCACAGTCCCGCTTGTATGGGTGTACGCCCGTGTGAAGGAGGACTCCGCTCACAGTCCCGCTTGTATGGGTGTACGCCCGTGTGAAGGAGGACTCCGCTCACAGTCCCGCTTGTATGGGTGTACGCCCGTGTGAAGGAGGACTCCGCTCACAGTCCCGCTTGTATGGGTGTACGCCCGTGTGAAGGAGGACTCCGCTCACAGTCCCGCTTGTATGGGTGTACGCCCGTGTGAAGGAGGACTCCGC